ATGGACACAACAAATACCTGGGAGATCGAACACAACAGTAGTTAAGAAGGAATGGACAAATTTATGGAAAGTACAAGTACCATCAAAGGTGCGCATGTTCTTGTGGCGATTAGCCTGCCAGTCGATCCCGACAGGTGATGTTCGACACCATAGAAACATGGCCCCTACAAGCTATTGCGGATCTATGGTGCGAAGGATTCGCGGAGGCACTCTTTGTTGGAATGCCACATGGCTAGATGTGTTTGGGCGCTGGAATGCGGAGATGTCATAGGATTCCTAAGCCAGAAGCCCGAGGATGGCTAGCTAAGGTAATGGATATGCTGCCGCATGATGATCTTATTCGAGTTGTGGTCACGCCGTGGGCAATTTGGCATGCACGCCGAAAAGCGATACATGAGAATATATTCCAAAGTCCACTGTCCATACATTGTTTTGTTGATAAATTTATAGCTGAACTAGAGCAAACAAAACCAAACTTGTTGCAGAAGGAGGCTGTTCAGATGATTGCACCAGTTTGGACTCCCCCTCCGACTGGATTCACTAAGATAAATGTTGATGCAGCTCTCTCCAAGAATTCAAATATTATGGTAGTGGCTGCTATAGCTCATGATAGTGCTGGAGTTTTTCTGGGAGCATCAACAGTTGAAAGGGCCTAATGGCTAGAGGGGGAATAGCATATTAAAAATATCTACAACAACACTAAGACAAGTGATTAGTCAATAAGATGGCGAAGCAAATTTTGCGCTAGCACTACACTTGGAGTTGCAAGCCGCCTACCCAATTCTAATTTCTAAGATCTCTAGTATGTCACACAAGAGCTATGTCACTAAATTACACCTAGGTGAACAAAGGTAGCTAGATAACTACAACTAAAGAGCTACACAAGCTACAAGCACTACACAAGGTGAATACAAAGTAATGAGAGAGAAGGGTAGAAGTGATATACCACCGTGGCAAGTGATCGATCAATGAATATCAATGAATACTGAGGAGACAATGAAGACACAATGATTTTTCCTTTGAGGTTCACTTGCTTGCCGGCAAGCTAGTCCCCGTTGTAGCGATTCATTCACTTAGAGGTTCACGCGCTAATAGGCATCACACGCCTAACCTGCAACCGGGTGCCGCACAACCAACACAAGATAAGGATTCACAAGCCACGCGCAATCCACTAGAGTTGCCTTTGGTGCTCCATCAGGGAAGGCACAAGAACCCCTCACAATCACAATGATCGGAGCCAGAGACAATCACCTTCCTCCACTCGACGATCCACCAATCACCGGGCCGTCTAAGTGTCGGCAAACACCAAGAGTAACAAGATCTCTACTATCCTAAATTGCCCAACTAGTGCCACAAGATGCTAGAACACTAAGCGGAGCGGTGTGCTCAGCTCTCAAAGGGTGTATGCAGCTGTTAGAAGTGCCAAGAGGATGGCCAAGGCCGACCACTAGCTCTATTTATAAGCCCACAAGCTTATGCGGGGTCACCGGGCATGGGGTGGCGGTGCCCCTTCAACGGTCATCCAACGGCTAGCCGGGGCAGGCGGCGGCGGCACCGAACAGGGGGTGGCGGTGCCATCCCGGCCAACAACCCAAAAACCATGCTCTCTAGAAAAATGGGGCAGTGCACCGCCATGGGGTGGCGGTGACTGCGGCGGTGCCCAATTCTAGATCACTCGCTCTCTATTGAAAAGGGGCGGTGCCATCGGACAGGGTGACGGTGCCCACGGCGGTGCACCATCGCGCATGTGGCGGTGCACACCACCACTTCCGGTGCCAACCCCAGCACCAGCCCTTCTCGGCCACGTCTAGGTGGGCACTGCCCTAGGGGTGGCGGTGCCACCGGACAAGGGGTGGCGGTGCCACCCAGAACACCTTCCTCTCGGCCTCCTCTACCGGTCACCGCCACAGGGGTGGTGGTGCATCGGACAGGGGTGGCGGTGCCCTCGTGGCAACACCCCGAGCCTGGCAACACCTCCTTTTCTTCATCTTTCTCACCATCTTTGTAAATGTGCTAACACTCCAAGTGTTTTACCATCACGTGCAAGTGTGTTAGCATTTTCACAATCATTTTTTAAAGGTTATTCACTTCTCACAGATTGTGCACTAGGCCTAAATGCATATGCATGTATTCCAACACCTAGTGGCACTAGATGATCGAGTTGTCTGATAAGAGCTCCCCTCTTAATAGTACGACCATCTATCCTAAATGTGATCACACTCTCTATAGTGTCTTGATCATCAAAAATAAAATGGTTCTATGGATATCACCTTTGCCTTAAGCCCATTTTGTTTTTCTCTTTCTTCTTTTCCAAGTCCAAACACTTGATCATCACCATAGTCACACCACCATCATGGACTTCGTTTCATGTGGCCATCTTCATCCATGAGTGCCACCTAGCTTCTTCACTTGGGTTGGACCATCCTATCTTAGTCACATACTTAGATGCAAGGATTAGTCCAAATATATTTCATCAATTAGCCAAAACCAAACTAGGGCTTTCAACAGTGGTACTAGAAGAGATAACAGATGCAGAAATAGCTGAAGCTCTCGCATGTAGAGAAGGTCTGGCTCTAGCTAAGGATATTCATGTCCAGAAGCTCCGCTTGGCAAGTGATTGTGCCAACGTCATAAGGAATATCAAAGGAGGATCCATGGGCACCTATTGCCAAATTGTTCGAGAGATCAGATCAATAGGACAATTGTTTGAATCTGTGGAGTTTGTTCATGAAAATCGCAGAACCAATGGTAATGCGCATAGACTCGCTAGAAGCTCCTTATACAGTAGCACTAGTAGACACATATGGTTTTTGTCACCACCAGATGGTGTTTGTAATTTTATTCTTGAATAGTTGAATAAAGGAAGGTGTGTGTTTCTAAAAAAAATCAGGCGTCCGTGCCTGTACGGAGTATCTGTTTGTCCCGAGGTGTGCACAGGCATAGGGCCACGTACAACGCCGCAACCCGTCCTGGTGAAACATTACGCCGGACGCACGAGGGATGGGGAGTTCTTTGCGCCAGTGGCCCGTGCCCTTGTCCTGGCATTTTCTTTCAGTCTAGGGCACACTTCTTGTTCCAAACAGTGGAGCTCCTCGGAGCATATTCTCGATAATAATCATTCTTTCTAAGCCAGACAACGAAACTACACATAGATTTTAGCGGTGAACAAACAAAAATCACTTCTCCAATTATCATGAAAGTTAATTTTGGTGTCGAACAAACAAAATCACTTCCCCTTTTACACTTAGAGTTGAGGACTTAAAAAACCCTACTTCTAACTGCTCTCTATCCAATCTCCATCCGAATCATTCCATAATTAATTCTCACCTGCTCTCCATTATGCTTTTCTACTAGAATCAAGTAGAATTACTCCACCAAATAATAAGGAAGTAGAAACCTTGGTAATCTAGGAGTGGAGCCTACCAAACAGGTCCTAATGTGTACACAAATGTTAGAGCAATTAGTCATTAATCGTAAATTTGATGCTAAATAATACTAAAAAGCCCCCCAAAAAAACAAAGCAGACTCTACCTGTTCCCTTCAACCAAACACTACATTAACAAAGCTGAGCTTAGCTCTATGTGCACTTCTACACCTCAGTCCTCACGCTTGTCCGTCTGCATGGCTTGTGTGGCAGGCCGCCAGGCCCTAAGCCGAGCGCTGATGTCGTTCCTTACCTTGTGCCATGGATATAAATATGCTCTTTGGAATATAGATTACTTCATTTGCAATATATTAGAAAAACCTTACTTTCTATTTCCTTTTTACTATATTTTTAAGGACACGAGGGAGCCTTGGTCCTTATTGAAAATATATTAGAAAAAAACTTTCTTCGTCTCAAAATAAGTGCACATATCGCATTTCAAAGAGTCAATCAGTTTTAAGTTTGACTAATTTATAGAAAATAGTATTAATATTTGCATCTAATAGGTTTACTAGTTGATATCATTAATATTAGTATCTTTTTACATATTTAGTCAAACTTACTGGTGGACTTATTAAAGTACGAGATGCACACTTATTTTGGATTGAGGGAGTAACATGTACCAAAGTCAATATTTACATTTACGCCTCGAAATAGAATATCGTAAATGCTAATGTTAGTTTCTATAGATTTAGTGAAATTGATTATTTTTGACTCCTCATAAAAAACAAGAACTACTTTATTTTTTAGAATAGAAGGAGTAGGCAACAAGCTAAATGTCCGTTTGATAGAGTTCTTTCTATTTCAATTTTCTATCGAAGCTGATTTTTTGAGAGAAATAACTCTTAGAAAAAACTATTTCTTGTTCATTTAAAAAAATGACTTTACCTAAATAACATAGAATCAGCTTCTTCGAACTTTAGTCTAGAAGCTGCTGTGCCAAACATACGCTAATTCTAGCGTAGCCTGTTGACAGCCATAAGATCCAGCGCACCTTCCATAAACAGCTTGCCTGCCACATCAAGCACGGCCACCACCTGCCGCAGAAGAGAGAGAGAGTACCGTCTCATCCCTCATCGACCCCGACCGAACCCAACCGAAGGCACGCTGCGCGGCCACAGGCCAGGTGTCCGGGTTACCTCTGCACTCTTCTCTCAACATGCCCCCACGCCGTACCCACCACAATGTGACGGGCGACCTTACCAGAGCGACGCCGCAGTTCGCTGTTCGCCAAGGAAGCCAGCCACCCCAGCCATACCAATTACCAAACCACTCATCAGGTCGCGTTGCCAGCCGCTCAAGCCAAGACGGCCCCCCTAATCTCCCCGGGATCGCGGCTCGTGTGCTAAGCTAATCGGGGCGCCCCAACCATCCCTCGCCAAGATCTCGACAAGGACTAGCCCATTGGTGAGCTGCGCCGATTTTAATATCTGCTAGCTTCTGAGATTGTTTTATTTATTGTTATTCTACAGCTAGCTGGTAGCAGGTACTTGCCTGATGGGTGATGGGACTGGGTTTTGTTTTAGTTTAGCTTAGCCTCTCATTTTTCCTCTTCGCTTCTCTGGATCAACCTGCCATGGTGAGCATCGCCATCGCTTTCTCTCCCTCTTCTCTTTTTCGCCTCTTCATTTTTCTTTTCCTGCAAAGTGTGTGTGGTTCTTGCTGAATTATCTGGTCTCCTTACGAATCTATGGCTGAGCATGATGAGCTGTTTTACTGGATTCTTGATACAGTTCTCCATTTAGGTTGCTTCATTTTTAGCGGCGTCCAGGGAGCGGGTAGCAGGCCATAATTAGCTGTTACAATTCAGTTAGCTTGCCTCTTTCCTTTTAGTAGTTCACTGATTTGAGTTTAGACGACGAATCTGGGTTAGTTGAATGTTGGTAACAAACCCATTTCTTTCCGGAGAAATTCCAAGTTCCAATTCATTCTGCTCCACTCAAATTGCATCTTTCTTGATTTGGCACGCGAACCAGCCTCTTCTTTGCATAAATTCCAACCGCTGTTTCTTTCCAGTCTAATTTGTACAGTTTTTGAGCTCAACTCCTCCACTTTTGCTGCAGCGCGTATCAATTGGAGTAGATAAGCGGCACCATTGGTATGAGGAGCAGGCACCCAAAGGCGTTGGGTTTCCGCTGCTACCCGGCAAGCCACCGGTCCCTAACTCTGGTACTGTGGAGCCTAGTGGCATTGGTCGTCGTTGTGAATTTCCATCTTCTCATCATTCATAAGGAGGAGGAGGAGACTATGAGTACACACGAGATCCGCCGATCGATTATGAGGGAGCTGGAAGTGGTGGAGAAGGAGAAGTTCCGGCTAGCTCCTCCCCGGAGCCGGAGGAATCCCCGGGCTGTGCGCCGCAAGGGAGAGAAGAAGCCGCCTACAATAGTGGATGAGTTCTTGGATCAGTCTTCTGCAGTGCATGATATGTTCTTCCCAGAACTGAATACGGCTGTAGATCCAGTCAATGGTGGAAATGACAGCATGTACTTCTACTACCCTGGCAGAATTTGGTTGGACACTGATGGAAAACCAATTCAAGCTCATGGAGGAGGTGTCCTGTATGATAAGAGGAGCAACACCTATTTCTGGTACGGGGAGAATAAGGATGGCAAAACCTACAAAGTTAACAGCAAGGGAGCAGACAGGGTGAGTTGTACCTTCCGATGCTATCAACACCCATTTGTGGTCTGGGACAAACCATATCTGGCTGTAGAAGCACTCAACTCAATTGTTTCACCTAATGTGAATGACCTTTGTCAAACTCATAAGGTACTAGCTAGTTAACATAGACGAATGTGATGGTGTCAGGTTTATATTTTGGGGGCATGGATACTATATATGCAATATAAGATTGAATACCCTGTAAGAGAATTTCACACTTTATTTTTAGACTTCTGGCAGATGGGGCATGTAGAAATCAAATTGATTGAGTTGCTTTAGCATGCAATGCACATGACCAGAGCACGATCAAGTAGACACAATAGTGTGCTAGAAGTTTGGAGAAGAATGATGAGAAATGATCAACTTACCCCATTTCAGAACTTCCGTGTAGGAATTTCAATTTGTTGCATCGTTATCCCAAACTAATGTCTTGCTCCAAGATTTTGTAATCATATCGTTGGAGAGATTATTTGTTTCTTTCTCTTTAGATAAACCAACTCGGAGATAGCGAGAAACTAGTATGTGGAACTCCTAAAAAAACTAATATGTACAACACCTAGAAAAACTAATATGTAGAAGAAGGTTTAATTTGTCTAAATATGACCGAGCATTTCAGTGCATATGTAGCTGTGTGTGCTAATGCATACATCTAATTTTCGTGACCTTTTAGATTCTGTTGGTGAAGCCAAATTGCTAGGGGCATGTTGGAAGTTATGGTCTATTGGTAAGGTAAGAAAATTGACTGGGCTGTTTTAAGGCGGGTTACTTGGTGTGTAGAGATGAAAAGCTAGTAACAATTTCAAACTGTTTATTACTCATATGAAATTGGTTTGAGCTCCAACATTTTCTTTGCGTACAAACTAACATTTTTTTACGCCAAATTGGAACAATGAAATATCAGTAGATTTTGGTTTGAGTTTGCAAAATACCAAATCAAGAATCCGGTTACAGGCTTTTGTCATGCAAGTACCACCTATTGTTGTTTTTTTTGTTGCAAAACCAGAAAGTTAAATCATGATTAGAGAAGAACTCTGGCCATCTCAGATTAGAAGGCAAAGACACTAAGGCAGACAAGCACATGCGCATATACCCGAATAGATATGCACACTAAGGGTGATTATCTGGGTGCATTGTGCCAGTGATCTCAGTTCTTTCATACCCAGTAGAGACATTCACACCAGTGGCGGTGTATTGGGTGGTGTATTGTGCTGTGTGACTGCAGTTCTTTAATTGGTTAAATCGAAAGTGACTGATAATGTAACTGCATTATGGTGCTGCCAACAACCAGAAAGTGCTTTCTTTTTATGTTTACAAAAATGGACTCTTGTGGACAGCAAAAAACTCTTCGGTGGTTTTGAATTGGAGGCATTTCTAGTTAAGGATTCTCCGGCTAGACTTCAACCTGATTATTCTGATATAAAGAATACCAACATTAGGCACACTGTGGAACCAGCATAGTTTACTAAATTTTCCAGAAACACAGATAATTAGTACATATTTTGCTACTGACAAACTGAACTGACGCTTCAACAGCAGAACTTTGTAGGCGAGTGATGTTTGTTTTGTCCACCTTCCTATTCGATGCATTATTTAGTGTCTTTGCCATCTCTAACTACTAACTTTGACAAATCATTTTCCAGGTTGACATCACTGGAGTAAGTTGCTATTCTTCGAAGGACCTGTGGGCATGGAAAAATGAAGGGCTTGTCCTCCATGGTGAGGAGAAGAATGTAACACATGATCTTCACAAATCCAATGTCTTGGAGAGGCCGAAGGTGATATACAATGATTGGACTGGCAAATATGTGATGTGGATGCACATAGATGATGCTAACTACACCAAAGCTTCAGTTGGTGTGGCCGTCAGTGACTCTCCGACAGGCCCATTCACTTATCTCTACAGCAAGCGTCCACATGACTGCGAAAGTAGAGACATGACCATCTTCAAGGATGATGATGGGAAGGCCTACCTGATATACTCTTCTGAGGACAACAGCGAGCTCCACATTGGTCCGCTAACTGATGACTACCTTGATGTCACTGATGTGATGCGAAGGCTTCTCATCGCACAGCATCGAGAAGCTCCTGCGCTCTTCAAGCATGAAGGCACCTACTACATGGTAACCTCTGGCTGCACAAGCTGGGCTCCAAACACTGCGCTAGCTCACGCGGCAACATCAGTGATGGGACCTTGGGAGACACTGGGGAACCCCTGTGTGGGAGGGAATGAGGTCTTCAGATCAACAACATTCTTTTCCCAGAGCACATTTGTCTTGCCGGTTCCAGGGCTGCCGGGCTCATTCATCTTCATGGCTGATCGGTGGAACCCATCTGATCTTAGAGATTCGCGGTACGTCTGGTTGCCTCTGACGATAGGGGGAGTCCCTGATGAAGCTGCAGACTACAGCTTCATGTTCCCTCTCTGGTCCCGGGTGTCCATTTACTGGCACAAACGGTGGCGTCTCCCTGAGGAGTGGAGGGATTCCTGAAAGTCTGAAGTTTTTTTAGAAGAATTGAAGTTCTTATACGCTGTTACATTGATAGATACCAAAGTATTGACATTTGACACGTTGGTCTACATTGTATAGGTCAGATGTAGATGCAGGGTTTGTAAATGTGCAGTTTTTTTGAGTTTGCACTCAAATCAGATGAAACTTTGTGGCCGTTTGGGCGAGGTGTTGTGGTGATCCACTCGTCTTAGTTTCAAGAATAATCTGGCTGCGCCTTCAGCATTGGTCTTCTCGTTTGATCTAGTTGGAAATGTGTGTTGACGGCTATGGGACCTGATTCAGGGTCGTCCATATTGGATCTGATAGTTCTTTGTTCTTCCACTCATGATCATTTGATCACCCTTTGTGCATGTGAATCTGAATTATAACTTGCTAGTGTATGTGCCATCGACTGATCGACCAATGTTGACGACGTCAGAGAATGGAATTGTCCTTATCCGTATTACTCCAGGAGACCAGCTGACCAGGAGGTCCGTCCGGGACTGGCGACGGCCGACGGATGAGATCTGATCGAATCTGTTGCAAATCGGCTGATTAGCAACGTGATTAGTTACGAAATTAACGGCCCCCCACGCGTCAATCCCGGAAGATATCAACGCCGGGGATCCGTATCCCGTATTCAGCGCCGCAACAGCAACAAACAGGTGCAACTCCCCAATCCAAAATTCCTTACCCATCATCGATTATAGATCAGACGGCCCATATGGGATCTTAAACTCCTGTCCCAATAAAATGAAATAAATATGTTTCCCATAATTATGATTTATATTCACCACAGAAATACTTCTCTCCACTCTGCCATTTTCCATTTCCCCACCTTTTTATTTTACAGCTGCTTTGCGGCCATAATAAATATCTTACCCAGCAGACATCCCGGCCCCTTCCCTTGCCACGCCGGCTATTTCGTTTAGGGCGCTCGAGGGCGATCTCTCTCGCTCGCGGAGAAGCAATCCATCAGCTACCGGCCATGGCAGGGGGAAGCATCCGCGTGGCCGCCAAGGCCGCGGTGATCGGCGGCTACCGCTCCGCAGCCTACATGCGGCGCGCCGTCACCCCGTCGTCCCATACTTCCTCCGCCGACGGCCGGAAGGCTTCCACGTTCGCGGCGGACGACTGGGTCATCACCGACCGCGAGGTGTTCGGTCCCGTGCCCACTCATGAGGAGGCCTTGGCTGCCACGCTCGACTTTAAGGACGCCTTCGAGATGTGAGCTTGCTCACATTCATTCTCTTTTCTTTCATCGACGTCTCTTGTCTCTGCTTTTGCAATCTCTTTACTTGGTTTTTTCATCTTTTATACAAAAAGACGGACGATCCTATCAAATATTTAGTCAGTTCAGTATATTATTATTATTTTTAATGTTCGTGGGCACATAGAGTCGCAATTTGCAAATTGTTTGTGAATTGCATGAGCATGATCGTTAGCTAATGGTATCCAATCAAAAATAAGTTTTTTTTTCATCTTTCGATCTGGAAGAGGATATGCTTCCTGGTAGCAAAGTGAAAAGTTTCTCTTCTGCTGCATTGCACTTTGTTGTAAACAAAATGATCTGTTAGTTGGCCACTGTCTCATGTTTACTTAGAGACAATTACCAAAGTCCTTTCGACATTTCAGCAGCGAGTTTTGAAAAGAGTTATTTGTGACTGGTGCAATGAAAAATTTGCTTTACAGCACAATGGATACGCTCCTGAGGGTATCATAATATATCCCAGAAACGAATGGCCCAAGAAATATACTGTATTTGCTTTACTAGTATCTAAAGAAGAACCTTGCATGCAGATTCTTATGTTTGAATAAAGTTTTTAACTTAATTTCCTTTTTGCATGTGTGGCATTTATTCTCTATAATCTTTTTCCTGGATCTAACTGGCGAGTCATTTTCATGAAACCAGTGCCAAGGAAACCCCGAAGAAACATCTCTGGCCTGCTGAGCTGGATAGTCACGCAAAGTCTGCTCAAGAAATTGCACTTCCGGAACTTGTTCACTCTGAAACACCTCAGGACGTTGTTCATTCAGAAGTGTCTAAGAAGGATGATAACTACGAAAATTTACTCATCTCATCCGGAACTCCTGGACGTGTTGTGCAAGCATTCACATTGCTACACGAGAGCCCTGAAGCTCAGGTTTGTCTTTCTGGCCTGGCAAATGCCAACAGCCCAACATACAGGATGTTCTCCCTCTGTTCCTTCAATAGTACTATCGTCATGATCAGATTTAGATTTAGGAGGCACGTGGGACTTGATTCTTTTCATGAGGTTTATTATCTATTGAGAGATTAGAAGTCCTCCAAACAAACATTTTCATTCTATGAAATCATTATACAGCTTGACAACTTGACTATGCTATATACTGTACACCCACGATTGGGTACTTACTGGTAACTGCATCTGCTCCTTTTATATATTCACATTCTGATTTAAGTGAATGTTCCTGATTACTTGGTTCATAATGAACCCTGAGCACAGTAAGCCTACCTTTGTAATTGATTAAAATTTTACAGCAAGTATTCGTCAGTATCTGTCCAGTGGACCTTAAGCAGATGCAAAATTGAATTATCTCGAGTACACTTTCTTTTTCTCTCAATTTTTTTTTTGTTTACCGTCAGTTTGAACAGATTGCTTGCCGTGTCCATCTTAACAACCTCTGTTGCTTCCAGGATGTTGTGGCCTCACTTGCTTCTGATAAGAATGTATGGGATGCTGTGATGAAGAACGAAAAGGTTATGAAGTTCTACAAGACATATGAGTCAAGTAAGCATTAACGTTAACACCCTTCAGTGATAGATTACTTGAGTAACTCTTAGTAAATGATCTTGTTTTCCTTCCTACAGAGCTTAGCGAGTGTTCTAGTGTTGCTTCAAGTGTATCTGGGGATGAGGTGGAGGATGGTGAGGCAGCTAGCCTGCAAAGCGCTGGTGAATCAGTGAAGGATTATTTGGAGAAAATGAAGGCCCTGGTGTCCGAGATGATGGCCAATCTGTCAAACATGATGCAAGATCTTGTTGCAACCTCTGACGAGGGCCGTAGCAAGGGGACGATCAAGACCCTGATAATGAGCTCCAGCAAAGATTTTCCGAATGCACCCTCTGCCTTTGTGCTCCTGGCTATTGCGTCGATCATGGTAGTTTTGCTTAAGCGTGTTTAGGTCAGCCAAACAGAATAGATAAAGGAAACTTTGCACACATTAGCATGGTTATTTAGCTTTTCATTGGAACATTGTTTTTTATCATGTGGGGCTCAATCTTATTAGATCAACTAGTTGAAGATAGTTTGAGTTTATATCTGTTCGCAAGATAGAATTTTCACCGAGTTGTCTCTTATAGGACATCTGATTATATGATGTCTTGGATATCTGCCGCTCATCATTCAGAGAGTAAAATTTGAGGGTTTAGCCGACACGTGATCATGTGTTATCGTTTTTTGCTGAGCTGGTTCGCAAAATTGTTACTTGTTCATGTTCAGAAATCAGAAGGAACCCATAATCTTAAGCTAGGTAAGCACCACCGTCCGTGATCGTAATTTGCCCCTTTAGTTCACACTTGTTGAAATCAGTTGGGCAAATGATGTAATATACATAACAGTCTGCACAAGATTTCTACAATTCTACTCGTACCTCTTTTCCTGCTGGACATGTTTTTTCAGCATTTCAGTATGAAGCGAAGTTTGAATCCAAACTTACAGAGCACACTCCCGAGTAGGCCCTGTGGTTTTGGGCAGTTAACAGACCACACCACATGAATGAACTACATGAGTATGCAACCGCCATTTTCTGAGGGAAGCACGGAAATTGACATACATACACATAACATCTACCATCCAGAAAAATCTTTGAACTCTACACTGGATGCAGTCGCTTTTCTCTTCTTGCTCGAATCATCAGCTGCACCAGCACTTCCAGTCACATCAACAGAGCCAGCAGTCCGAGCTTTTAAATACTTGCCAACCCCACCACCAGTACTCGTTGAACCAGCAACACCAGTTCCTGGGTTGCTATACCATGATCCCACCTTATCCTGAATCGATGCAACCACATGTTAGTACAATTGGGAAATTTAAATGCAAACAGTCCATGACTATATAGCTAAAATAAGATATAAAATGCAACATTACATAATCCTCATCCTTTTTCTTCTCCTCCTCTGCCTTTTCTTCTTCCTCATCTGGCTCTGTGTAAGGATTCACGAATATGCTGACTTTTAGAATCTTTATTTCCTCCTGTAAATAGAGGCCGTCATAGGAATACATGTTCAGGCTCTGTTGATATTGAAAAATACACTAGTGGAGAACACAGTATACATTCGAAGCTATAAATAATTATCTCAATGCTTTAAATAACCATCATACTAGCAGAAATTGACTTGTGCAATACTAACCAATGGCCGGTCGTCATCATCGACAGGAACCTTTTCCATAGCTGAAAGTGTGGTCAAACCACCCACCACCATGCCAAATACCGTGTGCTTGAAATTTAAGTGCGGTGCAGACTTGTACAGGATAAAAAATTGGGATCCGTTGGTATGAGGGCCTGAATTTGCCATGCTGACTACACCTCTTCCAGAATGTAGCAGCTTTGAGTTCGGCTCATCCTTGAACGGTTTACCCCATATGGACTCTCCTCCACTTCCTGTGCCAGTTGGATCACCGCCTTGAATCATAAAGTTTCTGTACAAAGGGAATGATAAAAACAACAAGAATTAGATAGCACCATAAGAATTAAAGGAATATTTGGAAAAAAGGACTAATGCAATCGGAACATACTTGATGCTCCGATGGAAGATAAGACCATTGTAGTAACCATTTTCACAATGCGTGAGGAAATTTTCACAAGTCCGAGGAGTTATATCACAATGAAGCTCTAAATTCAAATCACCATGGGTTGTATGCAGCTGAACGTAGCCTTTCTTTTTTGGATTCCTTTCAACTTTAACATACTCATATTCATTTTTGGTAACAGGATCATAAGAAGTCGATGTGAAAGAACGTGATGCTGCTCCAGTAGTGTAACGACTTTTGACCTGAAATGATTGAATTGTTACCATTAGACAACACCAATGGATAGGTAAAACAGGGACACCATAACACATGAACATGAGATGACTGTATACCAGTTTAGCATTTACAGGAGCTCGTTCCCCTGCCATATGCATAGCGATTCTAGCAGCGGTTTTTTCAGCAGAAGTTGCTTTTGCTGCTGCTGCACTCCTGCCATGAACAGAAGCAGAAGCAGCATCCACAATACTGAAACTTTTATTAGGTTTAGGTTCTTTTCCTGCTTTTGAGTCATCCTTCTCCTTCCTTGCTAAAATTGCAGCAAGAGCCGCAGCTCTTTCCTTTTGAGCTTTCAGCCCTCCACCCCCCTGCAAAAAAGCTTCCTTTCCTTTTTCTGTCCCAAGATCCTTAATCATTTGCTTAAGATCACCAGAAATATTTATGTTATAGGTTGGATCATCTTTCATCCGCCGCAACTCTGCAAAACAGCCCGATTTTCAGAATATGTAAGCTACTCGGGAACAACTGAAACGGGAAAAAAAGGTAATGGAAAGAGGGAGCATAATTGAACCTTCATCCTCAAGTTTGAGGCCCTTTTTGACATGGTCGAATTCCCCAAGGACCTTGCCATCAACCACGTTTGGGTTCTACCAAATTTACAAAAGGTCAACATAATTATCCTAAACAGCAAAATATTGACAAGAAACTGCGCAAGTAGATTCTTCATAGTAGTTACCTGAATCGTTATCAAGTCATTTCGAGTGAAGGGCTCATCAGTTAGCAACTCTTTCCAATTTTTTGGCTTGATGTTAAGTTCTTGGATTGCCTGTGTTTGTAAAGCATTAACATGTAAGCTAAGAAAATACCATAATATAAAGCTAGACACTTGCAAATAATATGAAGTTACCTCATAGCAGAAGACATTTCCAGTAGTTTTTACAGCAACTATGTGTGTGAATTCTGTAAAAACTTTATTCAGAACAGGACACTGAAACTCTCCTGCCAAAAAATATGATTGATTTAATATATATTTATGAAGTGGATGTAAAGGCCAGATTGAAGGAAGACATAATTGTAGTAGCAGATTGATCTGGTACGAGCTACATTGGTATTCTTGTATCTAAAAGAAATTCACGATTCAACTAGCAGATCAACCTGGTACGAGCTGCATCGGTATTCTCATAGCCTAGATTTAACTCACCATCTGAGTTCTTGTGGAATGTGAGAGGAATCAGATCTTCGTGCTTGAGTGGTGCTCCGGTTACTGGATGCTTCCCGAACTTTTTAAGGTATGGGATTATGCTCCTATATACAAACTCAGGATTTCGAAAAAAAAATTTACCCTTACTCCTTTTTTATTATAGAAATATAAACAGCTCGTTGAACTGGAATGCTAAGCCACTCACATTAAATCGAAGACGCTTCCATCGACGGTGCACACTGGATCCTCAAATGGAAGAAATGTGAGTCTACACCACCCAAAAAGATTATAATCAGCAGATAAAGAAGATAAATTAACATTCAGCTAGTAACAATCTTAATGACTTATACCAAATTTAACAATCATCTACAATCCACAAGTCCATGTCGTCAACTGCCAAATGTTAGGACAGAATAGCTCAGAAAAGTAACCACCTGAACTAATACAGCATCATCCAAGGGAATATGTTTAGCAGGAATCAACCATACACTATACGCAAATAAATTAGAAGCCCACAATCTGATGACGAAACCCTACAAGCTCAAGCAGACACACACACGCCAGACAATCTTTCTTTTGACTATAGAGGAACAGAAAGTAAGGGAAAGGCAACGTAGTTACGAGCAACAGTAGAAGGGGAGGCGCTTGAACGGCGTGCCTACGTCCTTCTGCTTGGCGCCGCCCCATTCAGTTGCCCACTCCGTCCGCGTGATGAACATGCGGTCCTTGCTGTGCTGCTTCTTCCCCATCTCTGCCCCCGGACTGAAGCCGCACTCTCAACTGCCGGTTGCCTCACCGCCGTGGATTTCGCTGGTGACAAGGTGAAGGCTGGCCTGGCCGGCGACTCGACGGCGGCAAGCGCGGGTTGGATCGGCAGGTTGGCTGGGGAAGATGCGGCTTTTTAGTCATCGGCTCGGCGCCGTGTTGGAATACGGCTCGAGCCGCCGTCGCCGCGATAGGTCGGTCCGAAACCCTGGGCTGGGCCCACACCTACAATAGAGCCCACTAGCGGCCCAGAGAGGAGCAGGAAGCGGCACCGGCCGAACGAGTCCAGTCGGCTTGAGTAGCAGCAGTAATAGAATGGGCGGCGGCGGCGGCGGCGGGAGCCCGGCAGCGAGCGGCGGCGGGAGCAGCAGCGAAGATGACGGGGACGCCGAGTGGAAGGAGGCCATTGACTCCATCGCCTCCGTTGGATTCAGCGTCGCTTCGTCCAACGGCGCGGCGAAGGCAGCCTCTGGCGGCAGCGGCGAGGTGAACAACGGCGTGGAGCTGGAAGAGACGCATGAGGGGAAGCCACAGGGTCCTGGGCTTAAGCTGTACCAGATCAAGGTAACTTTGTTTGCTCCTTCTCCTTCCTTCGTCGTTAGTCAGATACATCATGTGCGGATTTTGGTTCCCGCCTTCCCGGGGGCTTATTGATTCGTGAAACCTGCATTCCTTTTGCTCGGTGGAGGAATTGATGCCACCATTTTCTAAATTGGGACTTCCGGAATAAAATTTTGGGCTCATGAGAACACTTTGTCTCCGAGTCCGTATTTAAGATCGGCTGTAGTGATAAATGCTACTCGGGGCAAGAGCACAAGTCATGAGCTTAATTTTTTTTTCCACGCGAAGACCATTCTTCATTCCCATTTAAAGATAAACGGAAATACATGAGATTGTTTAAGAAGATAGAGGAAAGGAAATCAGTCCTGAACCTGAACCACTCTAGCTAACCTGAACCTCTGTCTCAGAGACAGCTAGCTAGAGGAACTTAACAGAAAACAGATAGATCGTTTTAACAGAAGATACAAGATGCGCAACAATCCAGTTTAACAGCAGACCCAGAACTGGTCGCCCTCAACACAGATGCCAAACAACGAACAAAAGAACCAGTAGCCATGAAGTTCACTTCCTTCCATCTTCATGGGTTCTCCTCTTCATCATCACCGAGCTTCAAGCACTTCAGGCCAGCATCAATTGGTTCCTTAGGAAGAAGAAGTCTTGCTGCCACCTGAAGCATTGCATTGACTCCATTGACAAGCATCTCTCTATCAACTTCAGCATATAGACCTGTCCAGAACCGCATTAGTGCCCCTGCATGACATAAAATCTCAATGGGATTTTTAATGATTTCCCCTTCGAAACAAGCTTTGTTTCGAGCCTTCCAAATCGCCCAACAAATTGCAGAAACGCCCCAGAGATGAAACTTTTTCTCAGCAGGAAGCCAATGGTCACACCAACTCCAACACTGAGAAAGTTATGTAGGGATGTTATTTGCCCCGATTACCTTGGCAATGACTGCCCAGATTACCTTTGCAATGGGGCAAGTGAAAAAAAGATGATCAACAGTTTCATTTTGGTCACAGAAATGACAGCTTGGATTGCCTGACCACCTTCTTTTGATGAGATTATCTTTTGTCAATACAGCATTGTTAATCATGAGCCAGATAAAAATCTTAATCTTTGGGGGGACTTTCCCCTTCCAAATTATCTTGTGAGATGGACCAGCATCACTACTGGTCACAGCATTATAGAGCGATTTCACAGAAAATTTCATGTTCTTTTCAAATTTCCACAAAATGACATCTTCTGAATCCTGAAGTTCGACATTATCCACATCAGTTTGAATCAGATCCCAACATGTTTGCAGGTCACATCAGTCATTAACTTAAATGGTATGGTTGTTTCTTATATTGACTGAGCTCATGTCAGTCGAGTGCTGTATTGCCCTTCCAAGATGTAGCTTTGGGCTTGTTGTGTGTCTCAAAGACATACATAGCAGAGAGAACAAATTTTTTCATTCTTTAGAGTGATCAAAATAAACCAATTCAAGATAGAGGAATCCTGAGGCTGGAAAGTGTAAAGGTGAAATGCAAGGTTTATTTCCTTATAGGGAAGAACAATGGTACTCTGTCTGTTTTCCTCATCATGAATGGTTATTAGAATTTGGAACTGTTTTCCGCTACGTTCGTGCCTCATGCTTGCCCTTGGTGGTGAAACCAGTGAATTCCATCAACTATGTGATATACATATATATGCATTCTTTGCTTCAATGAATCTTCTCCCTATGTTAGTTAAGTCATGATCCAACCTGGCAGACCAATGTTCCAAGTCCAACTAGGCAACAGTTGCACAATGTTTGATGTGGAACTGTCACCTATGGCATGCCCATTTCCATTCAATGAGCTTATCAGGTGCTCGCTCCTAGTTTCCTCTTGTCTCGTGCTTAATCCACCTCACCTATGCTTTTGTCTACATACTTTGCTTTTCTGGTCAAGAAATCATACCTTTTTAATTTTACATTTTTTATCTTACAACCTTCAAATTGTTCATTGCAGGTAAGAAACATGTTGGATGATATGTTAGAGAAAAACCTTGAAATAGTCAAAGCTCCATGCTTGAACTTAGTAGACCCCACGGAAACAGGAGGAGGAATAAAGTTATTTAAAAAAGCGCCACCTGGTATTAGCATGGATTCTATGGGTATGTGAGAAACAGTCTTGTTAAATTCTATGATTGTGGTCTGTGTCAAAAGTCACAACAAACTCAAGTGTAGCGCATATTTCCAGATAAACTGCATGTACAACTCAAGAGACCAAGAATTGTGCCTGGGGAAGAGGTCGATGAGAAATCAAAGAAGGTTGGGCATCAATTATTGCTTTAATTTGCCCTATGCTTGAAGTTTTCAGTCATTATTTCTCCTGGTCTTACTCCGATCTTTGTTTCAGTTCAGGCATATGCTCCGGTCTGTTGTTGTCGATGGCAGTGACATAGTTGTTTCTGCAAAGGAAGCATCTGAGAGATCATTGGCTAGATTGGAAGCGAGAGAAGCTGCAGCAAAGGCAAAAGCCAAGAGGGAGGAAGAAAGGGTGCAGGAACTGAAGAAGGTTAGGGGAGAGAAATGGCTTCCTTCTGTTGCTAGACAAATGAAGGTAAGTTTTGGTATCGACATGTACTGCAATTAAATGTTCCATTTGCAACTAATTTGTTGTTATTGGTGTGCATATTGTATCGCTGTTCCATTCTTTTCTTGCGCAGGAGGAAAAAGCTTGGGAGCTGCGAAGGCAATGAGCTGATGATGCGCCAGATCAATGGGGCTGCGTACGCTTATCTCTAAGTCCAGTTATCCTGGTGCCCTGTTCTGAGTGGCCACTGACATGAGTAGATAGAATGCTGCACTGAAAGTTTTCTTCTAATTGAGAGAATGTAGCTCTGGATATACTATGCCGCTCTGAAAAATTTGATCTGACTGACAGAATGTAGCACTGGATATACCAGCGTTCATTTTCATTTTACTTCTGTAGTAAAAGTCCATAACGTGATTTGGCATCAAACTCTTTTGGAAATGCATTGCAAATCATTCAATGTTCACGGTTGGTCTTTTGGTTTGGGCTGACTGGTGCTGGATTTTTTAGCATTGCAAAATCAACAAATTGGTTCTTATCTTAGTTCTCTTTTCGTTACGCAAAAGACAGGCACATGAATGAATGATACTCCCTCCATTCAAATTATAATAAGTTTTGGCTTTTTTAATACGTGAATTTTAATATACGCTTATAGATATACAATATGTCTAGATATACAGTAAAAACAATATATGTAGAAAAGTCATGTAAAAACAGTAATAATATATCTAGAAAAGTTAAAACGTGTTATAATTGGGCTCATGAGGTGCTCATGACAAGGAGGTCAGCGGCCCGCCAACGCACTGCAACCCCGCTCTAAGTCGTGCTTGGATGGGCCTCCATTAAGCCCACCAAGTCCTCGTCTCCACTGGCCCTTTCTTCGATTCTTCCTCTTCCCTCCGCCTGCCGCGCCGTCAAGCAACGCCGCCTCCCGTCCCCATGGACACCACACCTTCCACCTCCGCCTGCGTCTCGCCGGCGGCCGCATCCGGCCCCGCCCCCGATCCGGACTCAGCTCTTGTCTCGGCTGTGGCTGACGCGCTTGTATCCGCCTCCCGCCAGCCCTCGCCGCCGCCCATGGACACCCTCCTGGCCCCGTACCTCCCGCGCCTCGCCCCCTCGCACCACCCGCAAGTGATCACCCTTGCCGCCGCCAACCCAGCGCTCGCCTCTCCGCACACTCTCCTCGCCTACCTCCGCCTCGTCTCCCCGCCGTCCTGCCTCCCCTCCCTACTCCCGCTCCTCCCCATGCTCCCCTACCGCAATCTCCTCCCGCTCCTCCTCGACTTCGTCCCGCTCGACCCGCTGCGCCACCTCCACCGCCACCTCCTCGCCAGCCTCCCCACGAGTGCGCTCGCAGACGCCGCGCTGTCCGCCTACTCCCGCCTACGCCTCCCCCACCTCGCCGCACAACTCCTCCACTCATTCCGCCGCCGCGGGCGCGTCCGCCCCTCCCTCCAGGCAGCCAACGCCGTGCTCTCCGCACTCGCGCGCAGTCCGTCCGCCTCGCCGCAGGCCTCTCTTGATGCCTTCCGCTCCCTCATCGCGCTGCGGCTCCACCCCAATCACTACACCTTCAACCTCCTGGTGCACACCCACTGCTCCAAGGGCACCCTCGCCGACGCCCTCTCCACGCTCTCCACAATGCAGGGTTTCGGCCTCTCCCCCGACGTCGTCACCTACAACACCCTCCTCAAGGCTCATTGTCGCAAGGGCATGCTCGGTGAGGCGCGGACGCTGCTGGCCAGGATGAAGAAGGAGGGTATTGCACCCACCAGGGCCACGTATAATACCCTTGTCTCAGCGTACGCGAGGCTTGGGTGGATCAAGCAGGCGACCAATGTCGTGGAGGCCATGACAGCATTTGGTTTCGAGCCTGACCAGTGGACATACAATGTGCTCGCCGCAGGGCTGTGTCAGGCAGGGAAGGTGGACGAGGCATTTAAGCTGAAGGATGAGATGGAGCGGCTCGGCATAGTATTGCCTGACGTAGTCACCTACAATACGCTTGTTGATGCATGCTTCAAGTGTCAGCGCTCTTCTGATGCACTGAATCTGCTCGAGGAAATGCGTGACAAAGGGGTGAAGTCAAGTTTGGTCACACATAACATTGTTGTGAAGGGGCTCTGCAGGGAGGGGCAATTGGAAGAGGCGTTGGGGCGTCTGAAAATGATGACAGAGGAGGGATTGGCACCAGATGTGATTACATACAATACATTGATTGATGCATACTGCAAAGCCAGGAATGTTGCCAAAGCATTCGTGTTGATGGATGAGATGGTGAGGAGTGGACTCAAAATGGACACTTTCACCCTAAACACTTTGCTATATAACCTATGCAAAGAGAAGCGTTATGAAGAGGCTGAGGAGCTCTTGCGTTCACCGCCGCAGAGGGGTTTTGTACCTGACGAAGTCAGCTATGGTACAGTGATGGCAGCCTACTTTAAGGAGAATAAACCAGAGCCTGCTCTGTGTCTGTGGGATGAAATGTTTAAGAGGAAGCTAACGCCGAGTATTTATACTTACAACACATTGATCAAAGGGCTTTGTACAATGGGGAAGTTGACAGAGGCGATTGATAAATTGAATGAGCTGATGGAGAAGGGGTTGGTACCAGACGACACCACCTACAATATCATCATTCATGCGTACTGTAAGGAAGGGGACTTGGAGAAAGCTTTCCAGTTCCACAACAAGATGCTGGAGAATTATTTTAAGCCAGATGTTGTTACCTGCAACACTTTAATGAATGGGCTTTGTCTGCATGGCAAGCTTGAGAAAGCGATGAAGCTTTTCGAGTCATGGGTAGAGAAAGGGAAGAAGGTTGATGTTATCACATATAACACCTTAATTCAAGCTTTGTGCAAAGACGGAGATGTTGATACAGCTTTGCGTTTCTTTGCTGACATGGAGGTCAGAGGCTTGCAACCTGATGCATTTACATACAATGTTGTGTTGTCTGCACTATCTGAGGCAGGGAGATCAGAGGAAGCACAGAATATGCTCCATAAATTAGATGAGAGTGGGAAATTATCTGAAAGATTTTCTTATCCTTTAATTAAATCTTCTGCGGAGGAAGTGGAGACTGGGAAGGACCCAGAGGTTAAATCTGACAGTGAATCTGGTGGGAATGCAAAAGGTGGTGATCAGGAGAGCTATAATAAATCTGTAAAGGAACTCTGCATTGGTGGGCAACTGAAAGAAGCTAAGGCTGTTTTGGATGAGATGATGCAAAAGGGCATGTCTGTTGACAGTTCAACCTATATCACTTTGATGGAAGGCCTTATCAAAAGGCAAAAGAGGCAAACACATGCAGCTGGATAGGATATGGTGGGTTTTGCTGCTGTGGTATGTGACATTGCCCATGGTTTTGCCATAACTTATCAGTTGGTCATATTATAAACTGACTAGGCATATTAGCTGGTCCTTGGATTATATTAAATGTAAGAATAATAGTAGCAACAATTCGAATTTGGAATTTTGCTAGAATTTAGCATGCTCCTCAAAATATATTCTTTAAACACTTCTCACGTGACGTTGTAACATTGAGGGTTATTTAATAAAGGGAAAATTGGTTCTATAGCAGGCAAAATTCTATAGTGTAAAGAATCGAGCGTTATTTGTTCAAAAAAATACCATTGAAAGACCTCATTGAGGGGACGTAAAATACCAAAGAAGAATCGGACGTCATCGAAATAATCGTCTGCTACGGAAACTAGCATTATGTAACAATTTGGAGCAAAACACACCGTGAATCAACCGCTTAGCTCCTCACCATGCAAACGCAAAAGAAGGATCGGCAGAGTCTCGCCTCATGCACACCGCACGCACCACCCGCAAAGACATAGCTCGGAGCACGTGGATCGTCGTGCGCGCGCGCTCATGATGCTCTTGATCGACTTGAGCTGTTGAGCATGTCCATGCAAAGGCACACCATCGAGCACCTTCCCCCCCACCGGTCAACAAATGCAACGAGCTCACGCATCACGGGGAGGCCTCGGCGGCGCTATTGACCGGCGTCGGTCTCAACTTGAGCTAGGCCGTGGATGGCGTGGACGTAAGTCGTGCTTGTTGCTTCGCCATGTGGGGCCATGGCCATGAGCGAGCATTCATGGCGGCCTCGAGCGCCAGCGTCCTGCCGCCGTCGTGCCTCGCGTTGTGTGGTTGCGCGATGGCGCGCGAGCGGCGGCGGCGAGCGAGGGGACGACGATCGGCCGGGCGCGCGGACTATGGTCTCGACACACGGAGTGTCACACCGGAGGCCCAGCGGTTGAAGCGCGTGAAAATGACGACGACGAGGCGGCGGCGGCGGCAGGCGCTTCGATTTTTCGCGAGATGGCGCGGTGGCCATGCCAACGATGGAGGGACCAGCCGATGCCAATCTGAGAGGCACGCCCATCCGAAGCCCCGTGGCCGCCTTCGCAAACGGCATGTGGAGCCTACCGCACCGAAAGCGTGATAAGCTCATGGCATGCTAGAGCAATCGAGTTTGTATGCATTCAAACGAGTTCGCGATGAGTTCACGATGGCTGGACGAGGGCGAAGATGGCGATGGTGAGGTATCGTCCGAGCAAGCCACTGGATTGAGAAAGAAAGGTGCCTCGACGGAAGGATTGACGGCAAAAGCGGCCACCGTGACGGAATGCTATTTTTAGGTAACGGTCCATTCTTTCGGTGGTATTTTACGTGGCGGACGTCTTTCGATGGTATTTTCCGAATGTCGTGATCTTTGGATGCTATGAAACCAATTTTCCCTTTAATAAAATCTGTTCAAAGGGTGGTATGTTGTCTTTACCGGTTTTCCTTTATGCTATTAACGCAGAGGGTGATGCTAGCCTTTCTAGCAAGAGAAATGAAGACCATTCTGAACAGGTCTAGTCGGTGTGGATAGAGCATCAAATATGAATGACAAACCATTGTGATTTGTGACCAACCAGGTAAGTTTTTTGTTATTCTCACCTCCTGTTCTTGAACTTTCATTTACCTTCATTTTGCCAAGCTCTTTTTATGAAAACTTGCTTACTAGTTGTAACCAGGGTTTCCTTTTTCTGACGAAATTCTCGGAAATTTCTGTTCTATTAGTGAGGCTGATAAAACTAGCTATCTGCCAAATTTTCTAGGCTTTTCCTTGCTCCCACTCGGATGGCCTAAATTCAACCGCTAGACGGTCCAATAACGCCTATAACTCCTCCCTATAACACCTTCGGTGTTACACCCTAAATCAATTACTAAAACACGTCATAAGCATCATGTTTATGTGTTAATGCATGTGATAGAATGTGTAGATAAATTTCTTGTAACTTAAAATGATCAATAAAAATGTTAAACGAAAGTTGATTCAATAGTTCAGGTATATCAAGTAGGGTTTAAAACTAATTTTTATTAAGCAAAAATACTATAGAATATGTGTGTGATACTTAAAAAAATTTGAAGTACAAACTTTGTAGATGACAGTAAAATACCTGCTGTCGAAAAATGATATTACTAGCTAATATTTCCACTAGCTTGGAAATCGTAAATTGAAATCAAATTCAGCTCAAAACTTAGAAAATTTTCAAGTTGTCAACAGCTAGACATTGCTATGTTTAGCAATTTATTTTGAGAGATTGGGTTAAGGGGTATGCAGTGTTATAGCTCGATTTGGTATTCTCATGTGCCATCTTGAGCATGATGAAGATGGTTTAGGTCTAGAAGCAATCGTTAAGTTTTTATGGTCGCTTTAAAATTCGTGAACGACACGGTTTCGGGTTGGTTGGTTGGCGCGCGTGGCGCGATCACCACGCCGGGCGCGCTCGGCGTCATTGCGTTCGTGCCCGGCCGTGTGTGTCGCCTCGGCTTGGCTATGGCTCACCGCCGCCGGTCCCATCGTCAGAGTCATTGCCGCTTACCCCCGCCACGCCACGACAAAGCCATCTCTTTGGCGCTATCTCCTCGCCGTCCATCGCCATTTACCCATCGCTTTCGCCTCGATCGCTGCCCAACCGCCTCGCGCCAGGCCAGCCGCCGCTGCCGTCGTGTCGTCGTCGCGTCGCGCCGTCCGCCGTGCATCTCGCTACATCGCGGCGCCCCAGTGTGTTGCCGCCTCGCTCATCGCGTGCGTGGTGGTCGGGCTCACCGTCGCCTTGTCATTAATGACATCATGCGGCCAAGTGCCACGCCGCCGGTCGAAATGCGCAGCGCTTGTCGGCTGCGCGCTGTGTCGTGGGCCTCCACGATCTCGCCGACCGCATCCCGCCAAGGCGAGGACGAACCGAGCCACCGCCGCGCGCTCCGCTTTCTCTTTCTTTTTTCCTCCTCTCCATTGCCGCCCGTCGAGCCGCGCCATCAATTACCCTGCGAGCAATCACCTCCATTCAATTCAGTGCATTGTCGTCTTCACCATCACGTCCTCTCGCTGTCCGACCCCACCCAGCTTTGAAGCGAGCATGGCCAAGCTCCAATTTTTTAGTTTTCTTCTGTCGCCGGGCCGATAAGGCCGCGTCCGGCTGCGGATGTGGGCAGCTCTCCCACCGCCCCTCCCGAGCCAATTCACTTGCACCAACAGCTTCGCCTTGCCTCCCTCTTCACCCTTCACGTCTTAGCCGAACCGCTACCACCTCCCCCTTCCGTCGATCGACGCGACCAGTGCCATCCATGGTGGCCATCACAGACGGCCGCCGCGCCAAGACGTACGCCTTTCCTCCGCCATCCTCCACCCCAACCGTCATCCTTGGCTAGGTCCATGGTAGTCACCGATGCTCCCTCGCTAGTCGAGAAGATTCTTAGGTGCTCTACATTGCCGGGCAACAAGGCTGCCGCCATGCATGGATGGTCACGCATCATTGCAGCTCACTCCAACGTGTTCGCCACCTCGCGCTTAGCGTAGCCGCTCGGGTCGGAGATGGTGACTGACCCATTAAGTGGGCCCGCCAAGCAAGTCCTGTGTGGCCGCGAGAGGCGCTTCGATCTTGTCAAGGCCCAATGCCATGCGCATCTGGTCGCCGGGTCGCAAGGCGAATTAGGGAAAGGCCAGGGGGTTAAGTGAGAAGTTCTAAGAGGGGAAAATAGCGTCTGGACTTAGTTGCAATTCGGGAGAAGTGCGAGGTCTCTTTTCCAAAGTCGTCGCACGCATGCACACACCCTGGGATTCCCACATGGCATTACAGGCCATCTCAAGTGGGTCAAGCAAGGGCAGCAGCATAAATTAATTATAAAGAATTAGAAATAGCTTTCTAATTTAATTTTTGAGCTGATCTTTGGTAAATCATATAAAATCATGTAGGTGTCCAAAAATTGTGAAACAAATTTTGTTAGGTTCCTAAAATTGTGCTCTATCGGCTAGTGTATTTAGTTCATATATATACATGTTGATATCAGGAGCTATTAAATCATTTGAAAATGTTTAATATTGTTAGGAGAATTATTGTAGGAATTTTTGTGGTAAATTGGTGATAGCTTTAGTCCTGAAATTTTTATGGTAGCTTCATTATATTATTATGTGCTCACTGTAATTTTTGTAGCTTTAGAATACATTTAGCATTAGGGTAGTTAAATGCTCTTTATTTCAAATATGCATTAAATCATTAGTAGGAATAAAGATGTATCCTTCATTTGTAAAGCTAGATGTTTATTAGTTGAACCCAACACTTTGCTTGGTAAAGATGATAGTTAGCTTAGTAACTTAGTCATTAGAGCTAGCTTAGTAGCTTAGTATGCGTATTCTTATCTTAAAAGTTGTTGTTGCTTAAATGCCAAGTGTTGCATCATCATCACATGCATGTAGAGAACGAGTTGGCGGAGATCGTGACCATCAACGATCACGAGTTCGAGGAAATCGTTGAGGAGTACGAGGAGATCCTCGTGCAGGAGGAGGTCTCGGAGCCACCACTGACTGACTCAGCTGACACCGCGTCTGGCCAAGGCAAGTCCCGGTGCATAACCCTTATTTTTTATAACCACTGAATATATATATGTGATGTGCATTTACGTTATAGGAATTTTATGAAAACCACCTGCATAAATATATCTGTCCTAGGAGTCTTACTAGTGCAGGTTCGAGTAGCTGTTATGCTTAGGTTTTCGGTAGCGTGAGTAACCTGTCGTTACTCACAATAAATGATTATTATAATTACTCTCATAATAAAATGATGAAAGGAAAAATGGAAACATGGCAGATATGGTGGGGGTATATGGTATGTGTTGTGTATTCTTTGGGTGTAACAGTTGTGTCCCGTCAGTCAACCGGCTTAGCTTGGTTACACTGCTTTTATTACGAGCACATACTTGTCTTGGGAGCGGGAAGGCTCGTTCACGCTCTTGTCGTGGGTTCCGCTTTTGTGGATGGAGGTCTAGTCATCACCGAGACCGGGTCTCAAGTGGGGGCTTTATTATTTGGGCGATCACCCCGTGATAGTGGAATGGTTACTTATGGGGCCTTAGAACGAAGACCCCAAGCTCTTTAAGGTAAGCTGGGCTCTTGTCGTGGGTTCCACCTCGCTCTTTTGGCGGACCTCGGAACATTGGAGGCGGGCTCCCGGAGGAAAGGTGGAGGTCTAAGCACCATACCGAAACCTCCGTCTCAAGTGTCCAGAGGCTTGGAGTTCAAGTTTGGAGGCCTCGGCAAAGGAACCCGATCTCCGATCTCGACCATGTCCCATTAATGCTTCAACCACTCCCTTAATCTCAAGGACGGTGGCTCAACGGAATGAGTTGTTCTTGTTTGTACCGGAGTACAAACGGGCGTGTGTTTTGGAATACCATCAGGTCCACGATCGCAGACCATACCGGGATACATTGGACCACTATGTCCAAACGCTGCATGCCCATGATCGTTTACAGGGGCCTCGCGATCTTGGGTTCGGCTCGCTCACGACCCCCCACAGTCGCCTCGCGCCCACTCGGCTCAACACTGGTGCACGTCTAGATTGGCTTGCGTCCAATGGTCTAGCACCGTAGTAAGAATCGGAAGGTGAAAGATGGTGAAATGGTTATGATTGCTTAACCCTTGTTTGAAGGTAGAACATGTGCTTATCTAGAATGGTTACCTAATGAAGTAATCATGAACACACACTAATAAAACTTGACCGTAAGGATGAACTATTAGTAATGTTTTTCGCAAAATACAAAATCGATCTCTCAGAACAACAAATTCATATTGCCTATCATACTCCTTGAGAGTCGGGAAACTATTTCCACTTGGTTCGCGAATCGTTGTTTCCGTGAGACGTCTACTTGGCTATGGTCTAGCACCGTAGTAAGAACTGGAAGGTGACATTGTGTACTTGTTAACCCTTGCTTGAAGGTAGTTTATTTTACCTAGAATGGTTAGCTAATGAAGTAATCATACTCGCTAATAAAATTTGACTGTAGGATGCAACTTGAGGAGTAAACCCATATTGCCTTTCATACTCTTGAGTGGAGGATTCTTCTCACTAGTGGGCACAGACATTGGATCCTTTTGCTATCGCTTTGCGCTAGATGTTATTTGTCATTCCTCCTTTTAATTATCGCTAGATGTTATTTGATCTTTGGTATTGTAATAAATAATTTTTAAGAACTCTTGTTGTATGAAATGGACTAAGTATTGTAAGCCCGTACTCATTATTGGATTCTGGATGTAAAACATAGATTGTTTCGAGTTCTCCTTTGGGGTTTACTCGACGGAACTGTCCGATGTATAGCTAACTTTCGGGTGCTTAGTGTCTAGTGGAAGACGAGCGCCTCCGAAAGCGTGTTATTTCAGGCGGTTCTACCACACTCCCAGCCCACCAAAACCCTAGAAATCCAATTCATTTTCCAATCTTTCCCCTCTCACTGGCTACAGCCATGCTCATGGCGGCGCCGCCGCCATAGCCACGAGCCCCCACCTCCAACTTCTCTGGCTTCGTTTCCTGATAGAACTCAGGCAGGTCTCTGGCGAGCTTCATGGGGAATGTCTCCGCTGCCGGTCCAGCGTCTCAGCATTGAGATGTTGCCCTGTAGGCCGTCGCTTGTCTGCGCCAGCCCATTCTGTGTTGGTGGAGCGCAACGTATGTCTCCATACTCTCCAACAGCTTCACTTTCAGCACACACGGCCAGACGCGTATTCAGTGGGTGCAGCGCGACGTACGGGTGTATGGCTTCACGCCTTCAGCAGTTCAGCACTCCAGTGTTTGGTATGTTTTCTCTTTTCTACTTAAGGAAACTTTCTTGCCAGCAATAGATGATAGATGGTAGAGAAGTGCAGTGGTGGTTTGCTAGCTGAATAATTAGTGCTGAATCATTCTAGGACGTTGTTTGAGTACAAAATAGTTTCTTTTATTTGTTCAACTTGCTGGATTAGAGACTAGTAGACTTAACTGGAAGCGTGTATCAACCCGCATTTTTGTACAGAATGACTACTCTTGTATAAAATGAAATTCATTTTGGGAATTTTGATACAGCATGTTTCAAACCTAATTGGCAGACAAATCCTAGGAGAGATGGCATTCCATGGCAGTGGCAAGGGGAAAGGGAAAGCTGTAGCTGAAAGCAGCGGCGAGCCATCCAGTGTGGCCTGTGGGTCATCTAACACATATGTGGTTACTACTGGAGGTCTGTTTGTGTAATACCTAATTTATTTTTGTTTCATGTTTCATCCATTTGAATTGTTCTGCTCTAACGATGGATCACGCTGTTTTTTTTAGGGAGGCAGATACAATTGAAAGGAGCAATTGAGGATACATGGAGCCATGGGACACCGTGTGGTAAAAATGGCTTCAAGTGTGGCTACTGTTCTGTAGGCCAGCAAAGTGGAGGGTGGACCCACCTAACGCAGCATTTGTGTGGATTACCCGGTAATGTGAAGTCATGTTCCCATGTGCCACCTAATGTTAAGAACATATTGCTGAAACAAGTAGCATTAGCGAAGCAAAAGAAGAGGGATGTTAGAGAAACTTGTCTTGAGAAGGCACTCATGGAGCATGATTACAGAACCACTTTGGCTAGCCTTGACGAAGAGTCACAGTATGAGTCTATGAGAATGAGATGGCAGTGCAAGAGTCACTAATGGATATTGGCTTAACTCCTAATAGTAGGGCAAGTGGTAGTGGTATTTGTCAGGCAGCCAGTCTAGATGGGTCAAGTGGCAGCCCTCTGTTTCACATGGGAAGTGCCACTAGTACTGGGGTTTCAAATCTAGGCAAAGCAGCAGTGGGAGGAGTAGGTCTGCTACCTTAGGCAAGGCAAGTGGCATTGGCAGTGGGCTGCTGCCTCCAGGAGACAAAGCTCGCTTCACAGTTTCTACCAGAACCCAAGTTCATCAAAAGCTCCCTTTAATATAGACTTGGCACGTAGTAAGGCACCATCACAGCCTCTAATTGACATTATGCTTAGTTGGGATTCCAAGCTTAAGCTTGCTTGGTCTAAGTTTTTCCATGCCAATGATATTCCTGGAAGGAAAGCTGACTGCCCCTACTTTCAATCGGCAGTTAAATTGAGTCAACAACTTGGGGAAGTGCTTATCCCAAAAGGAAAAGAAATAGATGGTCCATTGGTAGAACATAATTTTAATGACTTGAAAGCTCACATGGAATCTTTTAGGGAAGATTGGGATCGATTTGGAGTTACCCCCATGTGTGATTCATGGACAAGCACTAGCATGATGTGTATTATTAACTTTATGATCTTTTGTGATGGCCACATGTTCTTTCACAAGACCGTGAATGCAACTGGTGAGGTCCAAAATGCAGAATTCATTTATGGTTGTATTAGTAAGGTTGTTGAGGATGAGATTGGTTCCAAGTGTATCATTCAAATTGTGATGGATAATGATTCCAATTACAAGAGAGCATGCAAAATGCTCATTGCTAAGCATCGACATATTACATGGCAGCCATGTGCTGCACATACTATAAATTTGATGCTGAAGGACATAGGGCGATTTAATGAGGTTGAGCATGTAGTGAAGAGTGCAAAGCGCATAAGTAATTTCTTCTATAACAATAACAGATTTCATGCTATGATGAGAGAGATGATTGGTGGAGAGCTGATCCGGTGGAATGCCACTAGATTTGGCACAGTGTTCTTGTGCTTGCAGAGTTTTTTTGATAGGCAGGATGAGTTCAAGGCATGGATGGTATGTCCTGAGTGGGAAAACAGTGAATAGAGAAATGAGCCAGACCATGAATTTGCATATGATTGCTTGACAAATAGAGTGTGGTGGGAAAAGATGGAATTGGTGTTGGACCACTTTTCTGTGTTCTCCGCTATGCTGATCAACAAAGGAATGGTACTGTATCTGGCTTCCTTCCAAAGATGATACATGCATATAATGAGAATAAGTGGTAGATTAAAAAATGGTAAACATGCTAAAGAAGATCTTCATAAGAGGGTGGCTGAAGTAATCAGTAAAAGAGTTCGATAGCTTCTCAATGAAACACTTATTCATGCAGGTAACAACCATGGACTGATCTGAAATTTTTGTTCAATTAATGTTTCTTTGCATCCATTCTAAATTTCTAATGTTGCTTTCAGTTCATATCTATCTAACATTACTGATTTCTTTGCCTTTGTAGCTGCTGCACTTGATCCTCAAGAATCATACAGGTCAAACCTTGCAAAAAAAGTCAACTTCCCAATTTGCTGTAACCATGGCAATCAAACTCAACGTCAGAAGCAGCAGCTGCGATTGACCAATTTTTCAGTTCATTGAAAAGAGATTGTTATTTGGAGATCCAGAAGCTCGGTGGTCAGCACTAAATGGCAAAACCAGCGCAGGTATTGATCTGCTGTTACTCCTGTGTGTAACAGTAGTTACTACCATGACTATATGGGACATGTAGTATTTTATTTTATTTTGAGATGGAGACATGTAGTTATTTTTACTGCCTTACTGGAGATAATTAACTCTGATAGTTTGTGAATATAGACAATGTTGCTACACAGTTGGCTCTGATAGTTTGTAGACTCAACATCAGTCTTAGATAGCTATTTTGTTATCTGAAAATCAATTTTTCATTTGTTCTTTTTTTAGAAAGAAATCAATACTTTGCCATTTGCATTCATTTTAAATCATGTATAGATATTGCCATTTCCGAATTTTTTATTAATGTCACTCTCCACTTATCTAAGGCCTAGCACTGTACAACTGAAAGTTTCTTTAGTAATGAGTTCCTAATTTACATGCATGATACTAAAAAGAAAAAAAAAACATTTAGTTCATGATGGACCTGTGTTTTTCCTCTACAGTTCGCTTATTGAAACCAGGACAATGCTTTTTGGAGAAGCTTGGTGGCAAGCAGACTACTCTCTTAGCCCTGCTTCCGATGTTGCAGGATGTATGCATGATTCATTCGCCCATTTGGTTAGCAGCACTTTTGATACCCCTTGGGCATTGGCCCTGTATGTAACACTGCTTCCTGTAATACTGCTTTAGGTGTACATAGGTTGCTGATTCTTTGTGGTTAGAGTTAAATTTTTAACTTATTGTGTTTGGTACTGCTGAAACATTTTGCTACATCAAACATACAATAGTGAATTATACTCAATAATATGACTACTTATTGTCATTCTTTGGTTTCATTGTGCTTAGTTTGGCATAGACAGTTTGGTCAGTAACTCTCTCGATGGCATTGATGCTTGTAAGATACTTACCTGGCACTTAAGCAAAGCATAAAATGATTTGGTGACACTCTTCAGCGAACTTGTTGGGCTAATCGGCATGTAGCAGAAACTGTGATTAGAGTTTCTGGTTTGCTTACTCTAGATCCTTGCCGCTTGATAATACTGTAATTTCACTGTTCCCATTTTACTCAGTTGAAATCCTCGTTTCAATCTGTGTTACCACATGGAATTTTGCACTTCAACGGGTCGTATCCACCCGCTGCCGCCTGCAATAACAATACGTACGGAATCAGTTTAGTCTCCTGGTGTTTCTCCACCTGCCAAATTTCAATCTGCAACCAGCCGTTCTGATGCTGCATATCTTGTTACTCTGTAGTATAAAATTGTCTTGTTGCAAGCATCAAAAGCGCCACCTAGCTAAAATTCCTGCAAAAAAAAAACAACAACTAGGAATTGCAACAGGAACAAGCATGTCTGGTCCAACTGTGCAAGTGCCGATACAGTACAAACGCTAGTATCGAACGAAATCAGCATACTACATTTTGATTCCTAAACAAGGATGAATAGTCTGTTTGGTAGAAAGATGCGTTTAACATTTTCATTCCTCATGGAGAAGGGAGCCAAGCATAGGACACTGCCGTCTCCATCCTGCGCCGGCGTTGGTTGCTCCTGCTCGATCCATGCAAGGGGGAAGGTTCCCGCTGTAAGCTCCTGCTCGTCCCCTACTCCCCTGTACGTTCCGTTGGTTGCGCATTGCTGGCCGCTTCCCGGCTAAGTTATACTTCTTGTGACTTGAGAGTATTCCAATTCTGTGAGCCAATGAATCTACGGTGAGTGGCGCCTCGTTGGTGAGGTGGGGTTGCCATCATATCATCTGGATAGATGGTGACATGTTTTCCTACTTGGAAGCTATATTCTGTGTAAAAAAAAAAGCCAGGAGCCATCCTTTAGCATCTTGAGGACTTGAGGTAGGCGGTGTCACCTCTGTTTATTCTTATGGTAAAAGGTCATCCCTGTTTATTCATATGAACTGGAAAAGATACATGTTATTTTGGACTTGAGGATGCTCTTGACTGTTGCTGAGGAAAGATACTGTTATGTATGAAGAGCATATACACTGGGCAGCATGCAGGAGCCACTAACTGCCCAGCTCTGAACTTCCTAGTCTACGTTTTCGTCAGTATGACGCGTCCACCGTGTCACACAGCATCTGTTTTCATATCTTCTGAATGACACTCTTTCTAGAGATTGATTTGAAAGTGGACAAAAAGTTAAACTAAAATAAAAATAGATATTACATAGTCACATCAAGTACTGTTTGTTTCATTTTTCAACTGAGCATCAAGTTTGGCATGTATGTTTACCCAAGCAAGGTAGGCAAAGAGATGAAGAATATTATTTGCCCTCCAAGGAACGGTAAGTGGCGATGGACAGGCCTCAGTAGGACCCTCATTTCTTCGCTGCACGCCTGCACTGCACTCATCAGTGTTACATTCTTTGTCCTTTTACGGTTTACGCCCCCAGGCAGTTTGATGACATCTATGGTCACGAGTCACGAGTTCTCTTGCACGAGCGAAAAGCTAGTCGTATAAGTTAAAACTGCGGGCCGATCCTGAATATGACCCCCAACATTCAAATGATGATGGCGGTTCTTTCCTCTTTGGCAAATTAGAGAAGTTTTGGGCGATCGCCCGTGCACAGACCACAGGTAAAGAGAAGCTTGTGGGGTTCAGCTTCGACTTTGGTATATACGGCCATCGCATGGAGGAGGAACCAGGATCTGTTCCGAATCCCTGGTGTATACCACATGTGTGTTTTTTTTATTTTCATACATACAAAATATATATAAAGAAAAAAAAGAAACTTGACATGAACTCCTTGGGCCCTTTGAGCTGCCAGTTGCCAAAGCCGGCTCTGGTTCACATGCATGCATCCAACAATGAGCCACTGCACAGCCGGCTCTGGTACTCACAACGATTCTGCCAATCAATTCTCTAAATCTGACGTCGGTTGTTCAAGCACTGCAGATCACTAAAGCCAGTATCAGCATCGTCCCTCCCAAATGCATGGCCTTTAACAGAACCAGAAGATACGGTACACCGAACCGTTTACTAGGAGAAGTTCAGTCGCTGATGAGAACCATGCATGCAATGGCTGCCTCCAGGTGAAGTTCAGTCACTGAGAACCAATGGCTCCGGCCAGGAGAAGTTCAGTCGCTGAGAACGCGTGGCCGGTGCAGTGAACCAATGCACAGACGAGAAGGCCGTTCGTGCGTGCCGGCCGGGCCACCTTGCGTGCAGTTGCAGGGGATACGGATACCAAACACTCTCAGGCCTAGCCACGGCCACCACAGTTGCGAGTAGAATATGCAGAGGACGGACGGCGGCAAGTGTGTGTGTGCCGCGGCGAAAGTCAAAGCCCGGGCGGGCACTCACTCTTTGGCTGGCCCTCGCGGAAGCTCTCCCGTGGGCGTAGGTGACCGCGGCCGGCAAGCAACTACCAACGGATATCCCACGGCTGCTCGCAGGGGTGTTCGCCGCCCGTCCCGCCCGCCGTCGCCTATAAATGGGGAGGCCACGCAAAGGTCATATCATTCCGTGGTCCCGAACTGCACTCTCTTCACCTGAGCACAGCACAGGCACAACAACCTCGGAGTAGCTAACAGGCTCGCTGGTTCCGCCGTCTTCTTCTTCCACGCCTTCATCACCTGAGCACAACAACCACCTTGGCTTCTGAACGCAGGGTACTGCTGCTGCACCTACACCTGCACCATTGTCCATTGCTAGAGCTCTGTTGCTCTGTAGAACTACCATGCATGTCGTCACTGCCTAGACACACAGTCCCGTTGTTCATGGTTGCTTTGCTGCAGATCGATTGAGTACCTTCCGAGACAGGATGCCCAAAGTTAACGGTCTGATAGATAAACTGGCCTTCTGGCTCGGATGGATTGCTCTCCTGCAAGGTAGGGACTCCTAGAAGCCTCTGGTTCATGATGCCTCACTGCCCTGCCATTGCATTCTCTGAGAAACTTGGCCTGTAACTGACATTGCTGCTGCTTCTCCGATCCGTCTGCAGGCTGCATGGTGAAATCTCTTCCATACGATTACTCTGCAAGCATCGAGGCAAGTCTCTGCTCCTGTGTGCATGTGTGATGTGTCAGTATTTGTTTCGCAGTTTCAGCTGCCCATTACCCATCTGGGTAGGACACATTCGTGGTCCAGCAGAAGCTTCACCGGCCGGCATTGGCTTAGTTTAGCAAAATAATATAATCATTGCCAATTGGCTGCCTTTGTCACGGGCCGCACGATAATCCACCGCACGCAATTCGTTCCCGTTGTGAGCTTCTACTACCCATAAGATAAGATGGAATTCCCATCGTCCCCTATGTTAATTTTCCCGTACGTACATTATATGCTTTTCAGCGCCATGCACGACAGCGCGCCGGCGGCGCCGGCGCCGGCGTAGCTGTGTCCGTCGACGTCGAGTGTGTGTGTGTGTTTACGTGTCATAGAAGCCACGTCAAGCTCGACAAAAAACGCATACGTCATCTAGCTAGCATTTTAGACTCCACTCATCAAAAAAGACTAAATTAGTTTGGTCCACGTGGCATGCTGCACAAGTAAGCTACTAAACCATCGTTAGAGCGATCGATTGTCTGATAATCTCAGGTACACGCATGCATGCTTCTAGTTATTATACACAACAAAGCAAAGCATCTGCTTATTGCCAAGATCAAAGGAACATGCCTTGGTTAAGGATTCCGATGGGAAACTTGCAGCTGCATCCGCCAAATTCAAATTGATCGATTAAAATTTAACGGGAAAATTAAAACTATTGATGGCCGCGTGCTGCAGTGCTTGCCGGAGCCGCTGGAGCCGCAGTACGGCGGCGGCATCCTCCGCAACGCCGACTTCAGCTCGGGCCTCCGGGGCTGGTCCACCTTCGGCTACGGCAGCATCGCGGAGAGCACGTCGGCGGCGGGCAACGGGTTCGCCGTCGCGCTCAACCGGACTCGGGCGTACCAGAGCGTCAGCCAGAAGGTGTACCTGCAGGGCGACACGCACTACACCCTCTCCGGTACGATATATGGATGGATGGATCGATAGATCGGCCTCGTCACGTGTGGTTTGCGATTTCTTTCGGTACTGCGACTGATCAGCACCGTCGCCCGGCTGGTTACAGCGTGGTTGCAGGTCAGCGACGCAAGCGCCGACGTGCGGGCCGTCGTCAAGACCGTCGATGACTTCGTCCACGCCGGCGGCGTCGTCGCCAAGGCCGGGTGCTGGTCCATGCTCAAGGGCGGCCTCACCGCCGCGGCTTCGGGTCCGGCCGAGCTCTACTTCGAGGTAGGAATCAGTAATAAGGTTCATTAATTGGTTGGCTTCGCAAATTTTACACGATGTGATGTGAGACCGATGGAGATGATTGTGCGTCCGTACGTGCAGAGCAACGCTACGGTGGACCTGTGGGTGGACAGCGTGTCGCTGAAGCCCTTCTCCAAGGATGAGTGGACGGCGCACCGCGCCCAGTCCGTGGTCGCGGCGCGCAAGAAGACGGTGAGGCTTCAGGCGACGGACTCCGCCGGGAAGCCGCTGGAGGGCGCGGCGGTGTCCCTGGACGCGGTCCGGACCAACTTCCCGCTGGGCGCGGCCATGAGCCGGTACATCCTCACCAACTCGGCGTACCAGACGTGGTTCGCGTCCCGGTTCGCGGTGGCCACCTTCGAGAACGAGATGAAGTGGTACAGCACGGAGCCGTCGCCCGGGCGCGAGGACTACACGGTCCCGGACGCCATGATGGCGTTCGCCAAGTCCAACGGCATCGCCGTGCGCGGCCACAACGTGTTGTGGGACCAGCCGAGCCAGCAGCCCGGGTGGGTGCAGTCGCTGCCCTACCCGCAGCTGCTGGCGGCGGCGTCGCGGCGGATCCGCTCCGTCGTGTCGCGCTACGCCGGCCAGGTCATCGGCTGGGACGTGGTCAACGAGAACCTGCACTTCAACTTCTACGAGGGCTGCTTCGGCTGGGACGCGTCCACCGCCTTCTACGCCGCCGCGCGCCTGCTGGACGCCGGCTCCGCGCTCATGTTCATGAACGATTTCAACACGCTGGAGCAGCCGGGCGACATGGCCGCGCTGCCGGCCAGGTACCTGCAGCGCCTGCAGCAGATCATCGCCGCCTACCCGGAGAACGGAGCCGGCATGGCCATCGGCCTCGAGGGCCACTTCACCAACCCCAACATCCCGTACATGCGCGCCGCCCTCGACACCCTCGCCCAGGCAGGCATCCCCGTCTGGCTCACCGAGGTTGACGTCGCCCCAGGCCCGTCGCAGGTGCAGCACCTGGAGGAGGTGCTGCGGGAGGCGTACGCGCACCCGGCGGTGCAGGGGATCGTCATCTGGTCGGCGTGGCGGCCGGAGGGGTGCTACGTCATGTGCCTCACCGACAACAACTTCAAGAACCTGCCGCAGGGGGACGTCGTGGACCGCCTCGTCGCCGAGTGGCGGGCGACACCGCGGGCCGGCGCCACGGATGCGCAGGGCTACTTCGAGGCCGAGCTCGTCCACGGCGAGTACAAGGTCACCGTCAGCCACCCGGCGCTCAACAGCTCGATCTCCCGGAGCGTCAAGGTGGAGCTGGGCTCAGGGAGTGAGCACTACTTCATTGACATGCAGGTCTAGATAGATCAGCCGGATTATTCTTCAGTTGCTAGGTGTAATGTAAGATTTCAGTCAGGCTCTGGATTATTACCTGCTGTTGTGTCAGAACTGTGAAAGCTTAGAAGCTTAGTCATTCGTGTGTATCAGTTTTCACCTTGGAAAATTGCAACGGAACTACGGAAGGCAAAGGAAAAGAACATTTAATCCTGCTCTCGAAGATTCCAAAGTAAAACGTTCCATGCTTCAGTTTCATCCCTTTCCGGTTTTTTAAAAAAAAAGCTTATCCCCCTTTGGCTCTGGCTTCAGGTAAACGTTAACTGCCCCTGTCGCCATTCTGATGCTAATTTTTCTTATAATGCATTTCTTTTCACTGAAATGAGACTCGAGGAAAACCTCCGATTCTCTTACATTTCTGTCGTGTGCACAAAACATAAAGAGTTCCCAGCCTGGTCGCTTCATTTGCATGAAAACAAATCTACATCACTGAAAACCACAAACAACGGCATTTGGTAGAACACTTTGTGTTCTATTGCAAAGATCTCCATCAGAGCAATTAATTTTTCAACCGTAATTAGCTAGAATGATTAGCGACAAAAGAAAAGAAAAGTAGCACCCCAACAAAAGTTAAAAAAAATATTCCTAATTATCCCTAAGGTAATTCCACAGAGAGTTTATTCTTTGAGATGCCATCATCTCAACTCACAATTATGACCTCTGTTAGTTTTATTAAGTCATGTAACCAACGAGTTGACGCCATCTAGAAGCTAACAAGAAAAATCATGGGTGAAGAGCAGGCATAAAAAAATGCCATATTTTCGTCGACAGCACATCCAAAGTCCCCAACTGAGTTGTTTCATTTGCTACAAGACAAGCCCATGTCACACTCTACACAGCTTAAATAATGTGAACTCTGCTATTCTACTCAACATCGCATTCGCAATACAACAATAAGTTTGAAGGTGTAAAAGAAAAGCACAAACAGCAACAAAAGCTCTGATACATCACTAGTTAAACGAAATACTGTGGATAAGAAAGCAACTCTTTGATCGTGCTAACTTTCTTAAAGCACAGAGTCGTCACAAAGCTTCAACAAAGCCGAACTTGCCAAGCACTGCCGCTGTTTCCTTCCTTGAGCTGCAATTTTGCACTTGGTGTCAAAGATTATTTTTTTCTAAACATTGTGGTAGAAACAATTTCATGCTTCCATAGATCAATTTGATGAGAGCATTTCATCAAAGTTTTGAGGAATTGATATGACTAGTACCGCTTACCTTCCATCTCTCAATATCTTGTAAACTCCTGGTGTTATTAGATCAACAATTGTTGAACCAGCACGCCCAGAAGGAAGTACTCCACCATCAAAGACATATGAACAATGTGGCCATAAACCCTCGAAATCTTTGACACTGACACTACTAGGCTGTCCGCTTAAGTTGGCGCTGGTAAGTGCAAGTCAGCACCACGAGCAATGGATCGTATGAAATCCAGATCCGGCACACGAACTCCAATGCTATCCAAGCCAGGATTAAGTGATCTCTCTAATATGCTGTTTTCACCTAAATGTAAACAAATGAATAGTATGATCAATGCCTCAGCTTGCTTAAGATAGATGTTACATAAAATTAAGAAACACAGTGTGGTAACTGCACCTCGTTTTAGAACAACAGTGACAAGCCCAGGAAGTAGACTATTAAGCAAGCCAGATGGAAAGTGGTCCACTAAAGCAAACCGTGATATGTCTGAGACATCAGCAACACAAATTGTCAGAGGCCGTGTTTGTATGCGCCCTTTGATCTCATAAATACGATTAACTGCTCCGGCAGAGCTGTCATGAAGAGTGTTTTAAGAAACCAAACCAATAAAGAATACAAAAAATGAAACACGGCCAAAGAAACTCCTAAATGAAATTCTCTTCTTCAAAGGATGAATCAGTACTAATTTCTAGCTGGGGGTTAAAGCAGAATAAAAAAGTAACTAAAAGAGATATATGAAATATTTGTGTATGTTTCCTCTCACTTATTTTATGGGTACAGACAGATTCCTCATTACTTGATCCTGCAATTATTACGAAAGAACTTAATATTGCTGTATAACTGTATTGTGTCCTAATATGGGGCAAGTCATATATGCATTAAAGTTCCTATGGCACTAGGGGGAAGAAAACACTGACCAGGCATCACACGCAAACCTGTATATGGTATCAGTAGGCACCGCAATCACTTCTCCTCTGTTGATTGCATCAGATGCTTTCAAGACATGATCTTTCATTGCTGGGAAAATGTTTTCTGCTGTGGCGTCTATTCTGTGAGCTGTGTTTTCTGACACCCTAACTGAGCAGGATACTTGAGACTTCGTCTCATATTGAGAGGGTAATCTGCTTACCTTTGTTAGATGTATAGGAGGTGTATGTGTTTTCCCTCTACTTGGAGAGCTTCTTTGCATATGTCCATTGTGTATACTAGCCCTCTTGGGCCTTGCAATACAGTTGGTTAGCCTCATTCTAGTCCTTTCTAACATGGTATCGAGCTATGTTTCCATCCTTACCTTCTGCTGCTGAGTGACGCCGGCGATTTATGCCCAACCCCGCTGGCCTCCGCATCCCACCCTCGCGCTGCTCCGCCCCGGCCATCCGCCCAAGACGCTGCTCCTCGCCACGCCACCAGACGCACCATCACGCGCCGCCCCGCCAGCCCTCTGCGTGCGTGCCATCATGCTGCCGCACTGCCCTCATGCCCCCTCAAGGCGCCTCCCTCCGCGCCACCGCACCGCCCTCTGTGCCCGCTGCCCTCCCGAGCGGACGCCTCCCTCCCGCGCACCCCTTGCGGCCTCGCGGCTCCCTTCGCCCAGACACCGGCCCTGCTCCGCCCCACCACCTGCGGCTCCGTCCCCACGCCGCCGCGGACACCGGCCCTGCTCCGCGCCTATATAGCGAGCCGCTCACTCGTGCCCGTGTGTCGGTCTGGTGCTAGTAAGCCGGCGGTCCTCCTCTCCTCTCCGCTTATAAAAAAAGGAAGCAGCATAGAGGCTCCTTCTCTCCTCCATGGCGTCCCCCGGACACCCTGGCGCTGTTCTGGTCCCTCGGTGCCCCGTCATTTTCAATGGCACCAATTGGGGCGATTTTGTTTTCCATATGGAGGTCCACATGGATGGGCAGCTGCTGTGGGGCTACCTCACGGGTGAGCAGATCTGTCCTCCCCGTCCTCTTCTTCCCACGCTGCCCACATAACCGCCAGATGCTGATGATGATGCCAAGAATGCTTTACTTGAGGCATTTGAGGCTGAGATGGAGAGCTACCAGTCTGATCTTGGTGTCTATGAGACTTGGCTGCGCGAGAAAAAATCTGCTAAGGCCATCTTACTTGCGAGCATGGAGGTCGATCTCTTGTTATCCCTTAGAGGTCTTGCCACTTCACACCTTACGTGGGATCACCTCCGTCAGCGATTCTGAGATTCGTAACGAAGCGATGTACCTTGTTTGTTGTTGAGGAGGCTCGGTCGCCCGTCGCCTTGACTCCACAGCTTGAGGACTTCCACCGTCGATGATGTACCGTATGCAGCATCGCTGGACGATTTAGGCGCCGAGTTCTGCGGTGGTGGTACTTGCCGGTCTTGTGACCATCACCGGGACCAGAGAGACATTCTTCGCCTTCACGAGTTTCTCTCGCTCTTCGTCCCCGAAGTTCGAGACTGTTCGAGAACGATTCCTGACTCGTCGTCCGCGCCCATCGCTCTCAGAGGCGATGCCTGGGTTATGAGCTGAGGAGACACGTCTTCAAGCTGGGGGTGTGACTCATGTTCTGCCGCAGCCCTCTGTCCTAGCAGCCACACCTCCCCAGGTCTCTCTGCCTCCGTCTCAACCCTCTCCTGTGGTGATGGGGGCACCTTCTGGTATTCAGTGTGGCTACTACAAGATCTATGGTCATGAGGAGAAGGATTGTCGCAAGAAGCAGCGCGACCGATCAGGGCGTCGTGGCAGACGCTCTTTTCAGGGCTCTGGTGGTTCCTCTACTTCACAGAGCACTCGTTCCGTGTCTGCAGCGGAGCAGGAGGTTCTTGCCCTGTTTCATCGCCTCACTACTACAGCTCAGGCCTCCGGCCATGGGACTACAGCTCAGGCTTCTAGTTCCACTCCTCCTCCGTCAGGTATATCATCCCCATGGTTCCTCGACTCTGGTGCCTCTTTTCATATGACACCTCATGCAACACACTTGTCCTCTCTATCTTCCCCCGATCCACCTATTTCTGTTCGCACCGCAGATGGCACGGGAGAGGTGTTCTTTCGACCTCTTCGTTTAATATTCCTACTGTTTCGCATGTTCCCAAACTCACTATGCAACTCTTGTCTGCGGGTCAAATCACTGATCATGGTTGTCGCATAATCCTTGAGTCTGATTCTTGTTGTGTTCAAGATCTCCGTATGGGCCTTTTGGTGGGAACTGGGCCTAGGTGTCGGGACTCCCAACACCTCTGGGAGCTTGATTGGTTGCGTCTTCCTTCACCCGTTTTGGCTCCCACATCACCCAGTTCTCCAGCATCCGTGTCAGCTGCTTCATCTACCACTTCTTTTGCGCAGTGGCATCGTCGTCTTGGCCACCTCTCTGGTTCTAGATTGTCCACCCTTGTTGGTAGTGGTGTGTTAGGTCCTGTTTCTGGTGACACTACTCTTCATTATATGGGTTGTAAACTTGGCAAACAGTTGCAACTCCCCTACCCTTCTAGTGAGTCTAAGTCCCAGAAACCTTTTGATCTTGTTCACTCTGATGTATGGAGTTCTGCACCTTTTGTTTCAAAAGGGGGTCAATCATATTATGTTATTTTCATTGATGACTATTTGAGATTTACCTGGATTTATTTGATGTCTTCTCGTGATCAATTTCTTTCTATTTACCAGCAATTTGCCACCATGATCCGTACCCAGTTCAACTCTCTCATTCGAGTTTTTCGTGCGGATTCTGCTGGTGAGTACATCTCCACTGCTCATCGTTCCTACCTTGCTGAGCAGGGTACTCTTGCCCAATTTTCATGTCCTGGTGCTCATGCTCAAAATGGTGTTGCTGAGCGCAAGCATTGCCACACTCTTGAGACTGCTCTCTACTTGTCTTTGGGGTTGCACTCCCTATGAGCGTCTTTTCGGCACCCCTCCTTCCTATAGCCATCTTCGTTGTTTTGGGTGTGTCTGTTACGTCCTACTTCCGCCTCGTGAGCACACCAAACTCACTGCTCAGTCTTTTGAGTGTGTTTTTCTTGGATACAGTACGGAACATAAGGGTTATCGCTGCTATGACCCTGTTGCTCGTCGGATGAGGATTTCTCGGGATGTCACCTTCGATGAGTCTCGGCCTTACTATCCTCGTTCCCCTTTCGGTTCTTCTGGTACCACTGAGTCCCTCTCATTCCTCACTTTACCTGAGTGGTATCTTCCGCTGTCGTCTCCATCCTCTTCACCCCCTCAGGTATCTTTTACTCCGCCTCCACCACCACCACCACCACCTAGTTCTCCACCTCCACCACCTCCTCCTACCTCTCCACCACCAGTCTCTCCTCCACCATCATCGTTGCGTCCTTCCCGTGAGATCACTCACTACTACACTCATCGTCCGCGCCCGGCGCCACCACTTGACTCTTCTCCGTCCGTCCTTGGACCTCCTCCCGAGTTTCCTCCTCGTTATTCTCTTTGTGATCGCAGCACCCTTCGTCCTCCCGATCGCCTTGGCTTCACTGCTGTCGTCTTGGCTGAGCCCGCGACCTATCGGGAAGCTACTGTTCACCAGGAGTGGCAACATGCTATGGCTGAGGAGATTGTTGCCCTAGAACGTACTGGCACCTAGGATCTTGTTCCTTTGCCACCTCACGTCACTCCTATCACTTGCAAGTGGGTGTACAAGGTAAAGACCCGCTCGGATGGCTCCTCTGTTGTCATCGATGTTGGTTTTACGCCAAGTGATCACGATCCTGCTCTTTTTTTTCACACTTCCCCTCGTGGTTGCACCCTTCTTCTTCTCTATGTCGATGACATGATCATCACGGGCGATGATTCTCAGTACATTGATTTTGTGAAGCAGCGTCTCAGTGAGACATTTCTTATGTCTGATTTGGGTCCCCTTCGTTACTTCCTTGGTCTTGAGGTCACCTCCACATCTGATGGTATTTTTCTCTCTCAGGAGAAGTACACTCAGGACATTCTTTCCCGTGCTGCTCTCACTGATCACCGCACTGTTGATACTCCTATGGAGCTTGGTGTTCACCTCGACCCACCGATGTTGTACCACTTGCGATCCTACTACGCTATCGTCGACTTGTTGGGAGTCTTGTCTACCTTGGGATCACTCGTCCCGACATTTCTCACTCATGCATATCTTGAGTCAGTTTGCCTCAGCTCCTACCCAGCTCCACTATGCTCACCTCCTTCGTGTTCTACGATACCTTCGTGGAACTATCTCTCGGCGCCTTTTCTTCCCTCGTTCTAGTTCTCTTGACTTGAGCGTGATACGATGCGACACAGGCGAGTGATCATTATGATTGCTACTCTCTCTCGCCTATTGTGTTTTCCTTGGCTCCTCCTTGATTGCCTAGAAAACCAAGAAGCGAGATCAGCTTTCCTTTCAGTCTTGGGTGAGAATTTGCGTGCTATGGCGATCGTGGATCATGGGCGGTGACATGGCTACGATGGCTTCTTGAGGATTTTGGTGTGCCCTGCTGTACCCTCCTCTCTCTCTTCTCGACAAAGACCGTCAAGCGATCAAGATTGCTCGAGACCCAGTCAAGCATGAGCTCACCAAACACATTGGCGTTGATGCTTCCTACATGAGATCGCAGGTGCATGATCTGGTTGTGACGCTCCACCATGTGCCTTCAGAGGTTCAGTTAGCTGATTTCTTCACCAAGGCACAGACCCGGGCTCATCATAGATTTCTACTCTCCAAACTCAGTGTTGTAGATCCACCATGAGTTTGAGGGGGGGTGTTAGATGTATAGGAGGTGTATGTGTTTTCCCTCTACTTGGAGGGCTTCTTTGCATATGTCCATTGTGTATACTAGCCTTCTTGGGCCTTGCAATACAGTTAGTTGGCCTCATTCTAGTCCTTTCTAACAACCTTAACAAAGCTGAACAAAGAAATGTGTCATCATGTCATTATGCCATGTAGTAATGCCGATAAAAGAAACAAATAGTTCTCCGGTGCACAAAAAAAGAATCTCCATGAAAAACATAATTCTCAAGCAAATAATTTTCATGGAATACTTTATTCCAGTAGTAATACGTGACATAATTTGGAAACTGAGGATGAAGTTCATCATGCCCACAATTTTCTCAGTACTGTTTGTGTCTGCAGTTCACTGGCAAACCAAGAAACCTAAGATCCCAATTTTCTCGTGACTAAAGAATACACAGAATATCAATTAGCAGACCCAATCTATACTAATGATATGAAGTCAGCAGCATGGGGTAACATCAAGCTCAATCAGAATAAAGGTACTACCAGGCCCAGGTGCCCCAGCGCAACAGCAGGGGAAGCGCGGCCACTGGCTTGGGACCAGATGACAAGGGGACCTGAGATAGGCAAGCTAGTATTACTTGTTTACTTATATAAAATACAAGCACAGCAATCTTGATGTTTTGTTTATAACTTTATATACACCTTTGACCATGGTGCGGCCTTTTGCGTTCCAGCACTAGCCCCCTTCATAGCTTAATGCTTATAAGCTTCACATATCATGATTCATGATATCCATTCATAGCTCTCTGCTGAAATTTTGTCTAGCCTAGACTCTGTTACCACTAAGAACTCAAATGTGTACTCAAGACAGGCTCTAATATATACTTCAGTGTGTTCCAAAACATCAAATTCATGTGAATTTGTTCCTTGCTTTCATCTCTTATATCATTAATATGTGGTAAGTAACATGTGTATAAAGCATTTATCTGGATGTGGGAAAATAAAGGAAACACAAATGAATTAATACACATATTCTGTCAAAACGATTCTGAATTCTAGACTTATTAAGAATTTTCTTTCTTTCTTTTGCCTTTGGAATCTAACACTAACAATATTTCTTGAAGAATAATGGACTGGATTTGAAAACATCTTGATGAAATATCTTTTATTTATTAAAAAATAAGAAATTTTAGTTCCCTAACAATAGTTCATGTTCGTGCAATGTGCTAAAAGTTTAATCTGGAATCGCAATAATTTTTTTTTTTTTTGTCTTAGGGCCTCCACCTTGGCTTTGCCCCAGGCCACCAAAATCTCAGGGATGGCGCTAGCTGCTACTGGTGGGCATTTTTACTCTACAGATACAGTGATGATCGAATACAAAAGAAACACTTGTCATCACATGATTTGTATCCAGGTAGTTGGGAGGGAACGCAACTGTGAAACAAAGGAGCATGAAAACATACCATATAGTAATTTAACTGTTAAATAAAGTTAGGCGACCCAGTAACGATACTAACGCGCCAATTTGTGGCAGTGCCGGAGGTATATGTGTAATTGTCAGGGTCAACTCACCCCGACGAACTTTCCAATTTCAACTGTGAAACAATCAAATCACTCTTCTAAGCAAACGGAAAAAAATATTGTGTTAGAACTGCGGAGCCCAGTGCCTGACCCCGGTGGCACAATACTCTGGCTCCGGTACTGGGCAATGGCATGCTTATGCGCACTAGCAGAACAACTCATGCTAGATGTACACTCCTACATATCAATCCTTTGTTTCTATTCTATATACGTATTTAAATAACTGATAATGCCTAATAAGCATATCAAAATTATGCAACGAGGGCATCGAACGATTAGGGAGCAAGAGGAGGAGAATTGACCAGAGATAGACAGAGAGAGATAATAATACCTCCTAGCGAGAGAGAACGAGCAGCGGAGCAGGAGGTGACACGAGGTTTCGAGGCGGGGTCAAACGAGTTCACTTGACTAGTATCCGACACGGGTAAGGGGTCCCGTGTTTCTCTGGCAGCTGGGCCCCGCGCTACTCTTGCCTCCGGCCTTCCAGGGGTTTGGCGACCGTCTCGGGCTATTGTGTGAGCTAGGGTTTAGGCACTAAGCGGCGGCGGCGAGGATGGCGGAGGCGGTCGTGAGGTGCCTCCGGGACGGACGCCTTGACGGCGAGCACGCGCCGGCGCTGGCTGTGGAGGGATCACTCCAGTGCTGCCCGCTCGCGGCGGGCGCGATGCTCCACATTGCGGCCGCACTCGCTTCCCAGGTCGCCGCAGGGAAGGCGCAGGCCAGGTTTTGTCAGTCTCTTCGCCTCCTGGTGCATAGTCTTTCTGTAGAGTTTGCTGATGATGTGAATTAGCTTGGTTGTGAACTTTTGATGGTGCAGGGGGCTGGTGGTTGTGGCATTTGATCGGAGCCCACAGGTGTACCTGGAATTCATGCGGCGCCGCGGCCTCGACGCAAATGCTTTGGACCGATGGTATGGTCTCACAGAATCATTTCTGATAAATAAAAATGTGTTTGTTGTGCATGGTCCGAAACCGTGAATATTTTTCAGACACATGCGGTTTGCAGAATTGGCATTGGCAATTTAATAAATTTTGGAGTAATTGCAAAACAGGAGCCTCTTTTGTATCAGGATCATCTACTGCCAATTTAGCTACTCTTAAGCATAGATCAAAGAAGATTCTTATATTAACTAACTTTCTGGAGTGGGAGCTTATGCATTTCCATTCATCATGCTTAAAATGTATCACTAATTTTGATTTTCTGTTGGTCTTGGTTGGTCGAGCACAAATTTAACTATCGGTATCTCAGCGTGTGCAAAATGCCAAAATCAGACTTTGGATTCTTTGGTAACACAAATACCAGAAACATCTTAGGGTCACTATGCAAAGAAATTTAAAATTTAAAGTTCATAAATGCTCATACAATCTCCTTTCCAATTTAAAAATCTGAAGTTGATATACCGATTTGGCAGTTTGATATGCCATCTGAACTCTGAAGAGTTAAATGCTCAAGTTAACTGGACACTCTTTTGTCACACTCTGTAAGGCAGAATGCTTTCCTTTTGATAAAATGTACATGACAATTTGAAATGCATTCAACAGTGTCCGAATATTGGATTGCTATTCTGACCCCCTTGGATGGAAGCAGAAGAGTCAAAATCAGCAGCATCAAGGGAACAGTGCAAAGCACTTCTCAACAAACAAAGAGAACATTACTGTTTATAGAAGTGTGAAGGATGTTACAAAATTGATGTCCTCCACTACTGAACTTGGAGGAGGTATTATCTACCATAGAGCATTTGACCTAATCCCTTTATTTCTGCCCTAATCCTAACTTGCTTACATTACGGATGTCAGGTTTCGAAGGAGAAGGCAAAAAGTATTTTTCTGTGGCTGTTGACTCAGTAAGAACTAACTACTTCTATGTGATCTTTTTGTGGGTGGAAACAATACCTGAGCTCGGATTATGTATAGTAACTTTGTTTCCCCTGTTGACAAAACTGGGGTTCCTACTGAGATTATATCATTTGTTGAAGATTGTTTCATCGTCCATGTTTAATTATCTGTGGAACTGATTTGACAAATGCAGTTTGTGGAAGTATGAGACATAATTAAACAGAAGATATATATAGTCTTATACTTCAATGGTTTTGTTATTGGAGTTCAGTTATTGTTCAATAGGTTGAAATTTTGGTGAATCATCATTAGCATATCTTTAACTGTAACACGCCTGTTGATCCCCAACTGCTGCAGGATCGGATTAGGGCCGATCTGAGGGTTTGGGGCGACGGCGGCGTGCTGTGTGGCCGCCTGGCTGAGGGTGGCCGGCGGCGGCTTGGCTGCTGTGGTCGGCAGCCTGACAGGGAGGGACGGTGGCCTAGCTTGAGAAGGCGGCGGCGGCTGGGAAGAGAAGAGAAGGGCAGCGCAGGGAGAGAAGGGGAAGGGAGAAGGGATAAAGGGATTAACCCTAAACTTGCTTAGTTTCTCATTAAGCGTCTCCCTCATATATATAAGGGGGGTTACAATCACTAATGGGCCTGGCCCAATAGCCTAACTATCTATTAAGGCTAAATTATAACAAATCGGCCTATTGCCCTTTACTAGCCACTAACTGTAGACTTAGGATGTTGCCTCCTCCTAGTGTAGGTCTTGCCGATCATGACATCTCTCCCCGCCTGAAGAATCAGCTCGTCCTCGAGCTGAAATTCTGGGTAGACTTCCCGAAACAGCTCAGCATCTTCCCATGATGATTCGGCTGCTGGCTGGTTCTTCCATTTGATCAATATTTGCAGTTGGCCTCGGTAGATTCTGGATTTCAACATGAGTTCTGGTTCTGGAACAGCTGTGCCTTCATGCAGGGTTGGCAATTGTGCTGGTTCTGTTGGTAGTGGCCCGTTGTGTTTCTTAAGCATGCTGACATGGAAGGCATTATGAATTTGAGTGTCGGTAGGTAGGTTGAGGCGGTAAGCAACAGAGTTGATGCACTCACTGATCTGGAATGGCCCAAAATATTTAGGGGCTAACTTCCCTTTCCGTATTGTGGATATTGCTACTGCTGTCCGAGTCATCAGTTTGAGCCATACCCAATCGCCTATTTTGAATTGCCGATCAGTATGCTTTCGGTCATAGTGCTTGCTGTAGTAATCCTGAGACTGTTGGAGGCGGAGTTTGGTTTGTTCCAGAAATCTGTCACGTTCTGTCAGGAGATCGTCATCTGATTGTATTATAGCATCACCTGGGCTGTGCAATTTCAATTGTGGCGGATCTCTTCCATAAACCAGTTTGAATGGTGTTGTTTTGATGGATTGGTGGTATGCTGTATTATAACAGAACTCCGCCCAAGGAAGCCATCTTATCCAGTCTTTGGGTTTGTCACCGGTTAAGCATCTAAGATACATAGTAATAATTTTGTTGACTGCCTCCGATTGACCGTCAGATTGTGGGTGGTAGGCTGATGTCATCTGCAATTTCACTCCTGACAACCGGAAGAGTTCTGTCCAAAACCTGCTAGTGAATACCACATCTTTGTCGCTGACAATCGAGTGGGGTAATCCATGGAGTCGAACTATCTCTGAGAAGAAGGTGTGAGCTACTGTGGTTGCTGAATATGGGTGGGCCAAGGGGATGAAGTGAGCATATTTGGATAGACGATCCACCACTGTTAGGATGACCGATTTACCTCCCACCTTTGGTAATGCCTCAATAAAGTCCATGGATATATCTTCCCAAATTTGTTCTGGTATTGGCAGTGGTTGTAATAATCCAGCTGGATGAAGATGTTCCGTCTTGTTGCGCTGGCATATCATGCAATTATTGACGAATTGTTGGATAGTCTGTTTCGCTTTGGGAGTGTGGAAAGTCAGTCTGAATCTATGGAGTGTTTTCTCTGATCCTTCATGAGTAGCATCATGAATAGCGTGTAGTATATCGTGAAGAATTGGGGAGGATGCAGGAACATGTACCCGCCTTTTGTAAAGAATGAGGTCGTCCTGCAGTTTTCAAGATGGAGAGAGGAGTCCTTTGGTGATGGCAGCAACAATTTTTGCGGCCTCCTCATTGGTGGATACTTCTTTGAGCTGGTTGAATATTGGAAATTGGATCTCTGATAATGACATTAGTGATGCTGCAGTCTCTTTCCGGGATAAAGCATCTGCCACTATATTGTGTCTGCCCGGTTTATATTCAACAGAGAAATCATATCCTAATAACTTACTCACCCATTGATGTTGTGGGATTGTTGATAGTCGTTGGTCCAGGATGTACTTTAAGCTGTAATGATCTGACCTGATTATAAATGTGCGGCCCCAAAGGTAGGGTCTCCAATGCTTAACTGCTGTGACTAGATCAATTAATTCTCTTTCATAAGCTGCTAATTTAGCATGTCGTGGAGCAATCATGCGACTGAAGAAAGCGGTCGGTCCTGCTCCCTGATGTAGCACAGCACCAAATCCCACCGAAGAGGCATCACATTCCACAATAAATGGTTTAGTAAAATCGGGTAGCTGGAGTACCGGTGTTGTAGAGAGAACCTGTTTCAGTTGCTCGAATGCTGTTGTTGCCAATTCTGTCCACCTGAAACAGTCCTTTCTTAATAGCTGCGTGAGAGGTCTGGCAATGGTGCCAAAATCTTTGATGAATTTTTTGTAGTATCCTGCCAATCCTAAAAATCCCTTGAGCTGTTTCACTGTTGTTGGTTGGGGCCAAGAGGAGATAGCCTGTATTTTCTCTGGGTCGACTGCCACTCCCATGTCTGATATAATGTGGCCTAAGTATCCCACCGTTGTTTGGCCAAATGAACATTTAGATTTTTTGAGATATACTGCACTCTTTTGAAGGATTGAGAATATCTTTTGTATGTGGTCCAGATGTTGGTTCCAGGTTTTGCTGTAAATTAAGATATCGTCGAAGAAAACCAGGACAAACTTTCAGAGGTAGGGACCCAGTATATCATTCATAAGTGCTTGGAACGTAGAAGGGGCATTGCACAAACCGAATGGCATAACCAGGAATTCAAAGTGGCCATGATGGGTTCGGAAAGCTGTTTTCTCAATATCATCTGGGTGCATGCGTACCTGGTGATACCCAGAGCGTAGGTCTAATTTAGTGAAGAATTTGGCTCCTTCCAATTCGTCAAGTAACTCATCAATGACCGGTGTTGGGAATTTATCCTTGAGGGTGTTGTCGTTGAGTGCTCGGTAGTCCACGCAAAAATGCCATGATTCATCTTGTTTTTTGATGAGTAGTACTGGTGATGAAAATGGAGAGGTGTTGTACCTTATGATGCCCTGTGCTAGCATATCCTGGCACTGTTTTTCTAATTCAGCTTTTTGGAGGTGCGGGTAGCGGTAAGGTCTAATAGCTGTGGGTTTACTGGGATCCTTCAGATGAATTCGGTGATCATATCGACGTTGGGGTGGGAGCCCTTGAGGATCCCGAAAGAGATGTGAGAAACTAGTCAGTAGTGCTTCCATTGTTGCTGTAGGACTGAGTGTGTGAAGCCGTGGCTGATCAGGGCGCGGTTTGCCCAAACTGGTCCAAATGATTTGACGTCCATATGGCGCCAAAATTTCATTGTGAGGTTGTTGAAATCCCATATGATTGGACCAAGTGAACTCAGCCAATTGACACCTAGCACGAGGTCATACCCTCCCAATTTGATGCTGTAGCAATCAATATTGAAGATTTCCGTGTCAATCTGCACTATGAGATTATTGTATATGCCCACATTAGAAATGCGGTCTCCGTTTGCTTCTGTCACTGATAGGGAATTTGGCGCTCTTGTCCGTTGCAGCTGAAGGTCATCTGCTGTGTCGGAGTCAATGAAATTGTGTGTAGACCTTGAATCAAGTAGTGCTAGGAAGTCACGGCCATTGATGGAAATCTGCACCTGCATAGTCTGGCTGGTGGTGATCCCTGTGACGGCGTTGAGTGATATCTGGATGTCGTGGCTTTCATTGCATAAGGAATGTGAGAATTCCTTTTGTTTGTCCGATATATAAAATTTCCGGGCCATTGCTATCGCTGATTCCAGATCTGGTGGTTGCTGAAGTTGTATGTCTATTTGCAGTGTTGATGCCAGTCCCGCTGTATAAAGCATAACTTGCTGAGCCGTAGACAACCCTGTTACCTTGGTTACCGTGAGGAGGAATTGATTTGTGTAGTCATCCAATTCTCCTGTCTGATGGGTTGAAGTAAGGTCGCCGAGGTGGTTGTGGTGTATTGGTGGGCCAAAGCGTCTGTCAATAGCCTGAGAAAATTGAGGCCACGTTGGATGCCCTATTTCCTGTTCCCATCTAATGAACCAAGTTAGGGCGTTGCCATGTAGATGAAACGCCACTAGCTGCATTCGTTCCTCCTCCTTGGTATTCTGGGCAGCAAAAAAATTGTTGCATTTGTACAACCATTGTGAAGGTTCATCGTTCCCGTTGTATTCAGGGAATGATAATTTGTGGGAGTTTGATGATCGCCTCGGCTGTTGTTGATCTGCTTTCTGGAAATCCTTGTTGAGCTGGGATTGGGGGGGGGTGCCTCCAGTGAAGTGGTCTACACGATGTTGATCGGTTATGGGTGGTGAAGCGGATTCTGGTCCGGTGGAGGAGTCGGTAGTATGGACCATTTTGAGGGTGGCACATACTTCTGTTCTTCATCCTGATTGGAGAGAAAAATTTCGAATATTTTTGCCCAACGATTGGTGATATCGCTGATGCTCTCCATGGAGTTGATCACGACGTGGCTCTGAATAACAGATGTAACACGCCTGTTCATCCCCCACTGCTGCAGGATCGGATTAGGGCCGATCTGAGGGTTTGGGGCGACGGCGGCGTGCTGTGTGGCCGCCTGGCTGAGGGTGGCCGGCGGCGGCTTGGCTGCTGTGGGCGGCAGCCTGACTGGGAGGGACGGTGGCCTAGCTGGAGAAGGCGGCGGCGGCTGGGAAGAGAAGAGAAGGGCGACGCAGGGAGAGAAGGGGAAGGGAGAAGGGATAAAGAGATTAACCCTAAACTTGTTTAGTTTCTCATTAAGCGTCTCCCTCATATATATAAGGGGGGTTACAATCACTAATGGGCCTGGCCCAATAGCCTAACTATCTATTAAGGCTAAATTATAACAAATCGGCCTATTGCCCTTTACTAGCCACTAACTGTAGACTTAGGATGTTGCCTCCTCCTAGTGTAGGTCTTGCCGATCATGACATTAACTAACAGCCAAAGCATTATCTCACTAACAATAGAGCAATATGACATCATTCAAAAGTATTCCACTATTTGTTTTAGTTGGCATTGTTTACTGTTTGAAGGAAAACCCTATATTATCTCTTTATATAATGCAATATTTGAAAAGATGAAAGTCCATTGACTCATTGCTCTTATATATTTAACTTTCATTTGATACTGAACACCAAACATCCTCTATGTTATTTCAGATTAGCTCCATGTTAAGGCATGCTTCAGTGCCATCAATTTCAGGCCTTCTTAGTAATCTTCGAAGCCATGGTATCCCTGCTTGTTCTATCTTCCATGCATATCATAGTGTTAGTGTAACCTTCTTGAGCAGCTGAAACTGAATTTCTAGCAGGGTAATAATATTTTTGGGGATGTGAATCATCTTTGTGGAGACCTCCAGAGGCACCATTGCATTGTAGAGCCCTAAGCCAAGCTAATAATATGAGGAGAAGTAGAGTAAGACCGAAATTGACATGGGGGGAGGCAATAAAAAGAGATTTGAAAGGTTGGGATATACCTAGAGATCTATGTTTGAATAGGAGTACTTGGAAAGCAGCTATTGAAGTGCCTAAACCGTGACTTGGGGCTCTTAGTGGGTTTCAACTCTAGCCTACCCCAACTTGCTTGGGACTGAAAGGCTATGTTGTTGTTGTTGTTTAATCATGTTTGTCTTTTAGTGTTAAGTATATAGATCTGTAATATTGTACATGCTTATTTCAAACTTTGGACTTCTAAATGCCTTCAAGTAACACTAATATATATCTGTCCTATTGTAGAACAAGTGTCATCAATCTTTTGGATGATACATTCAGACCTCCATGAGCCCAAGGTGCCCCGAGCATTTGAATGTCTTTCTACTATGGTTGCTTGTGTGGAGCCAGCACTTGTGGATCCTATTTGTGGAGAGAGTCCTGGAAACATGTCTATCCTTGAGCTAAATTATTCAAAAGCAAAATTTATTGTGCGCCTTAAAAGACGAAATGGACGGGTGAAGCACCTTGTAAGGCTCCCTGTTGCTCCAGTGTTCATGTTTTTTCTTTCCTTCTAAATTCAATTGAGGAAAGCCGGTTGATATTTGGTACAAACCCTACCTGTGCAGTACGAGGACCTGTATATTGAGGGGAATGATATCAAATTTGATTCGGCTCCTTCTGTAAGTATAGAAGTGAACCAAAGTCTAGTGCCTAAGGTTAGTTCCTACACTCTAGATTCTAGAACAATTAAATACTGTTGTGTGCCACTTATGTCAACTCCTATTTACAAATATTGGTCGTTGTTGTAAAATGTGATAAGTTGGTTCAACAGGTTCAGTTCAATCTTGAGCTGTCAGAGAAGGAGCGCAGTGACAGGGCAAATGTTGTTCTTCCTTTTGAACATCAAGGTAAATTTTATGAAGTCAAGTTATTTCTGAGTAGCATCAGTTTAAGGTTGCGTTTTGATTCTGGGAAGCGCATTGCATCTGGAACTTGACTTTCCCACATTTTATCTTAGGAAATGGCGAACCAATTCGTATATATGATGGTCGCCGGTCCCTACCTGAGGCTCAACGTGACCTGAGCTTAACCGCACCGGCCCTTGTGGATGAAATAAAAGCTCCCAAATCTGGAACTGCAAAGGGTGAAATACATTACTTCCGTGATTCAGATGACGAGCAACCTGACTCAGATGAAGACCCAGATGATGATTTGGACATATAAGTGTGAGTGTAGGTGCTCTTTACTTTAGTAGGTGGCATGCGCAGATGAACTTTAAGGTATAGGTATGGACATATAAGTATGAGCGTCGAGAGTTGCTATCCTGTAGGTTAGTCTTTTGTTTAGCACTTCCATGCTTTACCTTGTCAATCGTAGTTGCACAAACCTTGAAGCGCTAACATTAATGAATTGTATTACTTGCTTTAGAGTATGTTTGCACAAATCAACCTTGCTAAAGTTTTGATAAAACCCAAAGAATTTGGTGTTTATATATGTTTAATTATATTGAATGTTTTCCTTTCCGTTCTTGGCCACGTTGTAGGTAGTAGAAACCTTAGCCAACACTTTTTACTAGATGAAGTTTGATAGACTAGTTTGTCCAGCAAACAAAAAAGAAATCATAAATGACGTGTAGGGGCATTGGCTATGTTTTTTTTCCCTTTTTTTTTTGGCTTATGCTGATTTGTTGTGAGAGGAAAATACTATTCGTTCGTTGAAAAGTACTCTGAAGTAGTTCAAGCGAATGGGGCCTATAGTTAAGGCTGAAGTACGCAATAAAAATAATTTGTGTGCATAATTCAGAATTAATGAGTTGTTATATTTTAATGATAGGACGATTTTGTTGAAAGGAAATCTTACATATGAGCTTCAAATGCTCTGATCTCACTGTAACGTGGCTGGCTGAGTCTTAAGAAACTCTTCACGAAATGTAGGCACAACTATTTGGATTTTGGATTAAAAAAGATCTCATGTATATATATAGAAAAACAAATTGGAAGGTTACAATTAGCGACACCGACACCCAAATTGGAATGTTACAGTTAGCGACACCGACATGTTGTGTGGTAGTAGTACTCTTAACCAGTTAGCTAGGCTTTTATGGCGGCCTCCGATTTGGAGTCAAGGTCCACCGTCTGCACGATGGGCTCCTTGAGCGACTCGTGCTTGACGGTGACCAGGTACTCGCCGTGGAAGAGCTCGGCCTCGAACGCACCCTTGCTGTCCGTCTTGGGCTTCTCGGGCACTTTCCTCCACTCGTCCAGGAGCTTGTCAACGACGTCCCCCTGCGGCAGGTTCTTGAAGTTGTTGTCGGTGAGGCACATGACGTAGCAGCCCTTGGCGTGCCAGGCCACCCACATGACGATGCCCTTGACGCCCGGGTGGCCGAACCCCTCCCTCATCACCTCCTCCAGGAACACCACCTGCTTGGGCCCCTTGGTGACGTCCACCTCAGTGAGCCAGATGGGCACCTTGGCCGCCGCCAGCGTGTCCAGGGAGCCCCTCATGTAGGGGATGTTGGGCTTGTCGAAGTGGCTCTCCAGGCCGATGCCGTACTTGAGGTCCTCGTTGCCCGGGTACGACTGGATCTGCCTCAGCTTGGCCAGGTACTTGTGATGTAAATCATAGTAACTTTTTTTTTACGTAAAGAACACGTGAAAGTACAGTGATGTAAATCCCCGTACCGTATTAACATTTTACATGCAGAGTACATCTACAGGGAAGCAAGCAAACAAGGCCCGAAATGCATGCAAAGTATACAAACAGATAGCTCATGCATGCAAAGCAAGCAAGGCCCCAGCTGCAGGCACGCACGCGTACTCGCATGCGTGCCGACCACTATGCTAATTAGGCACCGGCCATGCATGTCGAGAATCCACCGTCCCCTGCTACGCGCCACCGTTCATTTGCGTGCCGTGTATAATCACCAGGGAAGCCCTACCTCATTGAATGCGTCCACTTGCTTCATCTATCCACTGCCGCATGCACTGAGAAAGGCCGGTTGTGATGTGCTTCATCTGAGTTGTGGAATTTCCATCTAACGCACCAACTAAATAGAACGTACGTGGACACCCTGTTAGGTTGCCGATTCGGCGTGCCTTTATATCTCTAATGTATATGTATGATAGGATGGTCTAGCCCACAGCTATAATCCCGTAGACTTCCTATGGTGCTAAGCGCATTGTTAATTACAAATATGTACAAGTCTTTTGTGTATTCTAGAAAAAAAGATGTCTGCCAGACAACAATTTTATAACAATTAAAAGGACAATAATATAAAATTTATTTCTTATTACAAGTTAGTTGAACAACAATAAAAAAAATCAGGCACCTAAAATATAACAGAAATGGATAACATATATACCTTTAGTGTGACTTGAGTTTACGGTAGCAAAATAACGGTGTCAATATATAACGTATATACCTTTGGTGTGCCTAAACCTAGTAGCTAACTGATGTGACACGATGATTGCGTGCAGGCGTGCACTCCATCGGCGTCTCCTACGGCATGCTGGGCAACAACCTGCCGTCCAGCAGCGACGTGGTTCAGCTCTACAGGTCCAAGGGCATCAACGGCATGCGCATCTACTCCCCCAACGCCAACGCGCTCAACGCCCTGCGCAACTCGGGTATCGTCCTCGTGCTCGACACCGGCAATGGCGACGAGCTTAGCCGGCTCGCTGGCAGCGCCTCGTACGCGGCGTCATGGGTGCAGAGCAACGTGAAGCCCTACTACCCCGCGGTGAACATCAAGTACATCGCCGTGGGCAACGAGGTGCAAGGCGGCGCGACGCAGAGCATCCTTCCGGCGATGCGGAACCTGGACGGCGCCCTGTCGCGCGCGGGGCTGTCGGCCATCAAGTGCTCCACGTCGGTGCGCTTCGACGTGGTCGCCAACTCCTACCCGCACTCCAGCCGAGGCGGTCGATGCCAAGGCCCCTAGCCAGGAACAGCGGGTGCTCCTGCGAGTAGGTGCTGCCGGTGCCGCCGCCGGCAAAGCTGAACTGGCCGAAGCGCAACTCCCGCTCCACCTCGTACGCGTCCTCCTCGTCGTCGGTGGATGCCTGCCGGCCCCTGAACGACTGGATGGTCTCGAGCGGCACCGGCCGCGCCCGGGGCGCGCCCTTGCTGGACGGCGGGAGGAGGTGGTGGTGGTCGTCCGCGCGGCCGCCGGCCAGAGACGCGAGGTTGTCCTCGGAGCACGTGCGGCGCATGCCGACGCGCGAGTGCTCGTGGTCGGACCCGGACCCGGGCCTTGCCAGGTGGCAGGAGATGGGCGTCGGGTGGTAGGCGGCCGCTGGCGACTCGGGGAAGTGGACTGCCGATGAGGAGGCTGCCGGCGAGTGGCTGCCGGAGGGGAGCAGCGTGCCGAGGACCGGCGTGGAGGCGCTCCTCATGAGCATGGTGGGTGGGTGGATGGCTGTCGCTCGCTTGCCAAGGCTCCCTCGGCGCAACCACTGGACGCCGGCACGCCTCGCGGGGGTCAGCGTGATCCAGATTGGGAGGCCGGAGCTTTGGTTGCAGAGGTGGGGTGGGGTACTGGGGTGGGGTGAGCTTGCCGTGCGATGCTGCTGCTGCCGCAGTGGCGCTGCGGCGTTTGCTGGTACCATAGCATGTGCTTGGGTTTTAATAGGGGGCCCGTGGTAGCTGCGGCACATCACCTGCATGCAGTAGTAAATTTTTTTCATGCAAAGTACACTGCTACGCGCCATGATAATTAGACACCGACCATGCATATGTCAATAATCCACCGTCTTCTGCTACGCATCACCGTCCATTTGCGTGCCGCGTACAATCATCAGGGACACTTGCTTCATCTGTCCACTGCCGAATGTACGGAGGAAGGCTAGTTGTGACGCGCTTTATCTGAGTTATGTAATTTCGATCTAACGCACCAACTAAGAAGAGCGTACGTGGACACCTGGGAGGCCGTCTATTGGGCGTGGCTTTATATCTTAATTTGTATGTAGATGACTGACTGACGACATCACAAACCACAATACCCTAGAATCTAGACCCACAATCATGCACATGCACATGTGTATGCGTATATCAATCCCCTCCCCTCCGTACTAGGAAGGAGGCTACGTATATAGGAGCTAAGGCAGCTAGACGTGTATGGTGTACTCGCTATCGGTGTCGGTCTCCCTGTCGACGCTCAGGCTCTGCACCACGGTGGAGTTGGCCACCGGGTGGCTGACGGTGACCTTGTAGTCCCCGTGAAACAGCTCGGCCTCGTAGTATCCGTCAGCGTCCGCCACCCCGGCGTGCGAGTGCGTCTTCCACTCCGCGATGAGCTTGTCGACGACGTCGCCGGTGGGAAGGTTCCTGAAGTTGCTGTCGGTGAGGCGCATGCCGTAGCAGCCCTGCGGGTGGCGCGCCGTCCAGAGGATGATGCCGTGCACGGCCGGGTGCGCGTACACCTCCCTGAGTATCTGCTCCAGGTAGTGCGCCTGGTTGGGCCCCGGCGCGACGTCGATCTCGGTGAGCCAGATGGGCGCGTTGGACTTGGACATGGTGTCGAGCGCGGCGCGGATGTAGGGGATGCTGGGCACGGAGAAGTGGCCCTCGAGGCCGATGGCCATCCTGGCGTCGTTGGTGTTGCCCGGGAACTTCTTGATCTGGAACAGCTTGCCCAGGTACTTGCTCGGCCCGGCCATCGGGTCGCCGGGCCACTCCAGCGTGTTGTACTCGTTCATGGACATGACCGCCTGCGCGTCCAGCTGGTGCGCCTTGCGGTAGAACTCCGCCGACGCGTCCCACCCGAACTTGCCCTCGAAGAAGTTGAAGTGCAGGTTCTCGTTCACCACGTCCCACGCGATCACCTGCCCGGCGTACCGCGACATCACCGACTTGATCCGCCGCGCCGTCGCCTGCTGGAGCTGCTGGTACGACAGCGACCGCACCCAGGACGGCTGCTGGCTCGGCTGGTCCCAGAACACGTTGTGGCCGCGCACCGCGATGCCGTGGCTCTTGGCGAACCTCAGCATCGCGTCGGGGACCGAGTAGTCCTCGCGCCCCTGCACTTGCTCCGTGCTGTACCACTTCATCTCGTTCTCGAACGTGGTCACCGTGAACCGCGACGTGAACCACCGCTGGTACGCCGGGCTCTGCAGGATCTCCGCGCTCATGGTCGACCCCAGCGGGAAGCCGCTCCGGACGTGCTCGATGCGCACCTGCGCGCCCGGCACGGGCTTGCCGGAGGAGTCCCTGGCGCGGAGCCGCACAGTCTTCTTGCGCGCCGACTTGATGGCCGCGTGGTGGTGCACCGCCCACTCCTCTCGGGAGAAGGGCTGCAGCGAGACGTTGTCCACCCATATGTCCACCGTCGTCGTGTTGCTCTGCATCCGGCGGGACCAAGTTCTTGTCAGTTGTAAGAACAGAGCATAGCCTGACAGTAGCAGCTTCTCTTCTTGCAGCGATCATGCAATGCAACGCGGCAGGCTTGTGCGTTTAGTTTACCTCGAAGTAGAGTTCTGCCGACCCGGAGGCGGGGGCGGTGAGGCCGCCTTTGAGAATGAACCAGCAGCCGGACCGCGCTTCGACGCCGCCGGCGTGGATGAAGTCGCCGTTGGTCTTCACCACAGCTCTGATATCGGCGCTACCATTGCTCACCTGCAACCAAGCTGCATATACCAGTACCAGAAGAAAAAACACAAACTTGTTAATAAGCTGATAATTCATCGCTGCTGCGACCAATTTTTCTTCCCCGGAGGCCGGAGCTCACTGACCTGACAGAGTGTAGTGCGTATCGTTCTGCAGGTACACCTTCTGGCTGACGCTCTGGTACGGCCGGGTGCGGTTCCGCGCCACGCCGTAGCTGTTGCCGCTCGCTGACAAGCCTTCCTCGATGGCGCCGTACCCGAACGACGACCAGCCCTGGAGGCCCGCGCTGAAGTTGGCGTTCCGGAGGATGCCGCCGCCGTACTGCGGCTCCAGCGGCTCCGGCAAGCACTGCGCCCACACGTTTCTAGCAGGGTAATAATATTTTTGGGGATGTGAATCATCTTTGTGGAGACCTCCAGACACCAGTGTATTGTGAGTCTCTTTTTAAGTTTTATTAACCGAGAGCGAGCGAGCCGATTGATTGATGATAAAAAATATCTTCACCAACCAAATTAACCTGAATAGGTTAAGCTGCCGGTGAGGATCAGTGATCTGTCCAATAAGCTAGCCTCAGTGGTGGCGTGCATGAGCATGATGATCCGGTGCGTGGCAGACACTGGGGTACACACGCCCTCCCCTGCTTGGCGTGCACTAGAAATGCAAGCGAAAAAGGGCTCTGGTTTTAGACCGATCACAGCAAGATGTGATGGACGCTGTACACACATTCGCGCATGCTGACAGCCGGGCCATGGAAAGATTGAACAACGCCATAATCGTCATACTGCCAAAGAAAGTTGGTGCAAGCTGTCCGGCAGACTTTAGACCGATCACTATGATCAGCGGCGGATCCAGGAAATATTTTAGGGGGGGCTGAACAACACTGCTGCTCGATCTTAAGTCTCAGCCCCCCCTAACTATAGAACTTTGCCTAAAATTCATAGGGACTCTACAGTAATTTGCACTGTTTCGGGATGGGTAGGGGGGGCTTGAGCCCCCCCCCCACTGCTGGATCCGCCCCTGACTATGATACACAGCTTTGCCAAGCTAATCTCTAAGGTACTGGCACTGCGGTTAGCACCAAGGTTCAATGACCTGGTAGCAAAAAACCAGAATGCGCGCTGCTTCAGAGCGGCAGCTGTCGCACCTGTCGACCTCAATTTGGCCATCAGAGCAGAAGCGGGTCGCTGGGCAAAAGCCGGAGCTTCAGGACTTTCCAGCTTGGCGACGCCGGGAGCAGGATAGAACACGGCGACAAACTGCGTCCGCAGATAGTTCTTAACGTCTATGTAATCCCCTTTAAGCTTCTGTTGCCGGGCCGGCGTAGGCCATTTATAATTTAAACTCTCTTCCTTCTTAATACAAATGATACGCAATGCTCTTGCGTATTCGAGAAAAAAAAAAGCTCTGGTTTTTTACCGTGTTGACATGTCATGAGGCACACGCCGATATACAAATATAATAAAGATGTGTTGACACACAGAAACAACAGTCATGTAGTCAGCAAAGATAGTTGTATGTGCGTGCACATAGGCTGCTGACTGCGGCACACCGATTAGTGGGTTGGTTTTTGGTTGCTAACTTGCTATATATAATAAGTGGGAGCCTGGGGGGTCGGCGCGTTGCGTGATTATGAGTCGGACGCATTTGGGGGTATCGGCTAACTTTTCCAAGTAATTTTCAGTTTTGATGATCTGATGACATACACAGAGCTGGATGATCGGACAGGGTCAAGAACTCAAAAACGAGATGGGCATGGCATGTGGTTAGGCACCTGGCCAACTTATTCTGTTCTTGTTGAAAAAATATTTGGTCCTGTTCGATCGGGGAGGGAAAATTTGGCAGAACGGCTGTGAATTCTTGTTGCTCCTACTTGTTCGGTCCATCTGCACGTACCCATGATCGATGTGCGTGCATGCTACCCGATCAAAGGGGTAGACTATTGCGTCTGAAATATCTCTACTATAATAGACCAATCAAAATTATACTAGGTTTCCTTACCTTAGAAAAACGTCACCCGCTAAGAGCCTCCAACCATTGTGCACCTAGAAAAATATACACATAAATTCGTCTCCATTAAAATAAGGGCTAATAAAACACCCACACCCAATCCAATGGCCGATGTTGGAAGTGTGATGCCAGGCTTTTCACCCCGCGCGCCCTCCACCCACGCACGCGGCTTCAAACACTCCCCACGCACACACCGTCGCTCTGCAGAAAGAAAGAAAAACAAGCGACTTCCACCGCCGCCTCTTGCTTCCCGACGCGGCTAGGTTTCCCGGGCGCCGCGCGTGCCTGATCCGAATGCCGATGGCACGGGGCGGGCGCGGCGCATGTCTC